TCGATAAAATAGTAAAGAGTAGAGACATCACACTGGCAACGAAGATCCGCATAGTCAAAGCCATGGTATTCCTTGTAGTATCCTACGGATGTGAGAGCTGGACCATAGGGAAGCCTGAGCGAAGGAAGATAGATGCTTTTGAACTGTGGTGTTGGAGGAAAGTTCTGAGAGTGCCTTGGACTGCGAGAAGATCCAACCAGTCCATCCTCCAGGAAATAAAGCCCGACTGCTCGTTGGAGGGAAGGATACTAGAGACAAAGTTGAAGTACTTTGGCCACATCATGAGGAGACAGCAAAGCCTAGAGAAGACAATGATGCTGGGGAAAGTGGAAGGTAAAAGGAAGAGGGGCTGACCAAGGGCAAGATGGGTGGATGGCATCCTTGAAGTGACTGGATTGACCTTGAAGTAGCTGGGGGTGGTGACGGCCGACAGGGAGCTCTGGCGTGGGCTGGTCCATGAGGTCACGAAGAGTCGGAGATGACTGAACGAATGAACAACAACAAGTCAGATAGGAACAAACAAAGTGATTAAACTTCGGAATACTGTAGGAGATAAAGGGATGAGATCACATACTTTCCTTTGGGAAGGAATTGGCTTTTCATCTTCATCTCTGACTAGTTTTTAAAGGCTATTTTAAGTGTATTTATTATATTTTCATCCATTTTTGCCACACTCTATTATTTATTTATTTTTAACTTTTATATTGCACTTTTTAAACTTGACTAAAGTGTGGGATTGTTATTCTCTAATATAAAAGAATTCCATCTAAACTGTCTTCTATTCCAAAAGCAAATGGATTCTTATCATCTGGTGTTCACGTTGATCTTTCTCTCTTCTTACAGAGTCCCATCTTTTTCTTGTCTTCTCCTCTGAGCCTGTATTATAAATGTTCCTGCTAATTGCTTTATTGGTTTACTTACATATACTCCATTTCCCCCTAGTTTTAATAATACCCATCCATTTACATATCTCAGAGTCGGTTTCTTTTGTTAATATGATAGCAATACATATGTCAATAGTTAATGTATAGAAGCAACTGAAATAATGTATTAGTCCAGCATTTTTCAACCTGAGTTGGGACCCCTGGGGGGGCTCATGAGGGGGTGTCAGAGGGGTCACCAAAGACAATCAGAAAACATCATTGGTGGGGTTCAGAATGCTGTTTGATTGTAGGTGAACTATAAATCCCAGCAACCACAACTCCTAGATGTCAAGGTCTCCCCCCCCCCCCCCCGGGCATATTGAGTATTCGTGCCAAATTTGGTCCAGATCCATCATTGTTTGAGTCCACAGTGCCTCTGGATGTAGGTGAACTACAACTCCAAAATTCACGGTCAATGCTTACCAAATCCTTCCAGTCTTTTCTGTATTAAGGGGTTGTGGCATTAGGAAAATTGAGAACCACTGTAATAGTCTATATTCTATGCAGATTCTGTATATATAACTCTTTCTATATAGATATGTTTCTATAATATCCATATCATTGAAATTATATACATTGGTATTATGGTATTAGAAATATTAACCCAAGAATTATCTTCAATCTTTTGGGTTTTAGAATACGGAATACATTAGTATATTTTTCATATTATTTTTAGTTCACAAATCATGTTATGTTCATCTTTTTTTTTTTTTTGTACAAAGTTCATATCGACATCGGGCTTCTCGTGTGAGCCATGACAATGGAGTGGAGTGCGCTAGTGAGCTCTTGCCTTGTGTCTTGTCTTTAGTCTCATATAAAACATTGCATTAGAACTTGTCTTGTCTTTCCTCGGCTTTCCTTAGGATCCTGTCTTGTTTTCTGGATCCCTGAGAATGAATTTGGATCCCCTGAATGAACACTCTGATGAGGACATCTGGGCGGCTTTGGAGCTGATGCTCCTGAAGAACTTTGTTTTGGATCTCCCTGGTCAGTTGGCCCATGAGTGCTCAGAAAGAGGTGGAAATCTCAGGTAAGAAAGAACTGGGTGGGTGGGAAAGGAAAGTCTCTTCTTTGGGTTTTGACATTATAGGGTGATTGAAAGTCTCATTCTTGTGTCAGTTTCCCTTTGGTCTCCCCCTCCTCTTAGAATGATTACTTCCCACTGAACAGGCCATCCCACTGGACATGCCGAGTGTTTGGAAGAGTAGGTTACTATACATCTGATGCATACTTTTCCTAATTGGTTCTAGCATAAACACATGGGAAAAGTGTATGAAACTGCCAAAACTTTGTCTTTGCACTTGGGACATCCTGCTATAGCACATTTTGCTTTAGTTTCTCAATGATTGAATATCTTGTAGAGTCTCCACCAAATTAACATAGTTTGTGGGCACAAAAACAAAGTTTCTGGAGCACAACAGCTACTTTCAAAGTAAGGACTACACAATTAAACAGGAAATAACACTTGCAAAATATGAACTTATTTTCATTATCATTATTGTTATTATTATTCAGAGGCAAGATGGCCATCTGTTGAGGGTGCTTTGATTGTGCTTTTGTTACATGGCAGAAAAAAGGGGGTTGGAGTAGATAGCCCTTCGGCTCAACCGAAGGAAGAAGAAGGTGAGGGAAGGAGGCGTCTGAGGGAAGTAACACATGGCACACACAACACACAGAAAAAAGGAAGGAAGGAAATCCCCCAGAAAGTGCACGAGTTAGAAATGAACACAACATACTACTAATCTTCCCTCCTCTGTGAGCAAAAAGGAATGGTGGAGCTTTTTCTCAAAGGGGCATTTCGGCTCCTTCCACAAATTGCGTAATTGTATCATTTTAAAGCTGAGAACGACAAATACCATCACATGACAGAATTGGCCATTTTGCCCATCTCTATCAGAATAATTTGCAAAAAGGTCACTTGCCAACCAGCTTAGAACCTGTTTGAAAATATAACCCTTTGCAATCCTTTTTAAACACCAAAATATATCCCTATCCTACACTTGAAGCTTATGTAATGCAATGAACATAGTAGGTTTCTGTTTCTTAAGAGAGTGGCTCAATAGTATTTAATTAAGGTGATGAAGTGATGTGTGTGTGCGCATATATATAATTTTATTGTGATATATGAAATACAGAAATGTACAACCTTCAAAATTCAAACCATCAAATTGCAAATATTATTTCACTAGTCCTACCACCTCTCCATTCCCACCCATGAACTCTTAGAGAAAATACTGTGTTTCCTGATTGTCTTTGGTGGCCCCTCTGACACCCCCTCGCAACCCCCCAGGAGTCCCGACCCCCAGGTTGAGAAACGTTGCCTTAGGCCATTGGAAAGCTTGGCTATTTGAATATACTCAACTAATGTTCTTCTCCAAACTTTAATGAGTAGGTCCCCCCCCCCCCCCACTTCCAAGACTTTGCTATTATAATTCTCTTAGCCACAAAACTATATTGGCAAATTTCTACATCTTCTTTACTGGTTCTCTCTTTAAATAAGCCCAGTAGGCATATATCTGGGTTTTTCTTAACCCTTTTAGAAATTATTTCATTAGTTTCTTTTGTCACCTTTTTCCAATTTTTTTACCTCCTTACACATCCACCAAACATGGAAGAAAGTTAGTTTTAATTTAACTGTCAATGCCACATTTTTAACTGAACATCATCTGAAGCTATTGCATAATATTTACCCAAAGCAGTCATAAAACCATGGCATTACAAAGCTGTAAGAGGCCACCAGAGCCAGTTAACCACCAATTCCCAATCCACTAACAGTAGCATGTCTGGCCCCTAATTTACTAGCTTCTTTGCAAGGCTGTCACAAGGGATCTTGTTAAAAGCCTTTCCAAAAACAAGATACACTGTATCCACAGCATTCCCTTCATCTACCAAGTTTATAACTCTTTAAGAGAAAAGATAACTTTTATCTGGCATGACTAGTTTGTGAGAAACTCATATTGATGTTTTATGAATATGGCATTCATTTCTTAGGTGCTTACGGACTGTCTCTTTAATGGTCTGCTTTACAATCTTTCCTGATTTGATGTCAAGCTGACTGCGCAGTTTCGCATTTTACTCCTGTTAGCTGTGTTGTTGATCAGTGCTCTTTTGCAATGTTGTATTGTGGGTTTTTTTGAACACCCAAAGTTACAGCATAGAAAAGTGTCAACTTAATAAAGGCATGGAGACATTTGGCCAAGTTGGGTTGCTGTGAGTTTTTCGGGCTGTCTGACCATGTTTCAGCAGCATTCTCTTCTGTCATTTTGCCTGCATCTGTGGCTAATGGAATCTTCAGAGGTTCTGTTGGCAGTGAAGCAAGTAGAGTGTTTTTGTTTTTATTTTATTTATTTATAATTTCAGTATCAACCAGACAACTGTATTATATTTTAAACATTTTTTTAACAAACAGACAAAACAGAGTTTGCAAGCTTGGTAGTTGATTAAATGTCCTTTGACCAGTAGTTGGCCACTTGGAGTGCCTCTGGTGTTGCTGCAAGAAGGTCCTCCATTGTGCATGTGGTGGGGCTCAGGTTGCATTGCAGCAGGTGGTCTGTGGTTTGCAGTAGAGTGTTTAAAGCCAGCATGAATGATGCAATTAGCAAGCTTTAATTAGCATTGAGTAGCCACGAAGCTGCAAAGTCAATCAGTGAGGGTATCTGTATCTGGCCACTGTTGCCTGGAGGCATCCACTCTGACATTACGTCAGACTACACAGAAAAGCCATTTATATCCACAAGCATGCAAATGTTTTCAACATAAAGGAGGAAACCATGAAAATGAACACAATCTGGTTACCAGTATTAACAAAACATCAGAATCAAGACAGTAAATAAGGAATACAACTCAGAAACAGGAGAACTCCAGGCAACAACCAATAAAGGGCTGGATAACAGCCTCCAAACAGAGGATGCCCTCAGGCAACAGGCTACCTCTATTAAAATACCCTCACTGATTGACTTTGCAAACTTCATGGCTACTCAAATGCTAATTCAAGCTTGTTAACTGCAACATTCACACTTGCTTTAAACACTCGACTTGCCTCACTGCCAACAGAACCTCTGAAGATGCCACTAGCCACAGATGCAGGTGAAATGTCAGGAGAGAATGCTACTGGAACATGGCCATACAGCTTGGAAAACTTACAGCAACCCAGTGATTCTGGCCATGAAATCCTTTGACAACACATTTAGTCAAGTTGTTTATCATAACAGATAATGATGTGGTAATGATAACTGTTTGCCCATCCACCTGCAGTGTTGGCCAGCGGCAGCTCATCTGCCTGACACGGGCTCTGCTTCGGAGGGGAAACATTATCTTTCTGGATGAAGCCACAGCAGCTGTGGATATTGAAACCGATCTCCAAATTCAGTCTGCCATAAGGAGTCAGTTTAGAGATTGCACCGTTCTTACAATAGCCCACCGGGTCAGCACTCTTATGGATTGTGACAGGTAAGGCTTTATTTGCATATAACTCTATGTTTCTGTTGTGTTCCTGGGTTATACATATCATTTCTTAATTAGTTCTATCATACAATAATGGAAAATGTTTATTATTAGACTGCAAAAACGTTGCTTTTGTGGGACATCCTGCTATAGCACATTTTGCTCTAGCATTTACAAGGAATATCTCATTGAGTCTCAACAAATTCAGCTTAGTTTGTGGCAGCCACAAAAGCAACAAAATTCCTGGAGTAGAGTAACTACTTTCAAAGTAAGGACCACACAATTGAACAGGAAATAACACTTTCAAACCAGGAACAGATATATTTTAAAATTTGGTTAATTACACTATTAACCAAATTATAATGCTGGTGCATTAATATCAACATCCCCCAACCTGGTGTCATCCAAATGTTTTGGGTGATGGTTCCCATCATCACCATTCACTATGGGAGTGCTGACTAAGCCAATACAAGAGGCTCTCAGTAGCTGTAGATTGTCGAACTGCTTCGAACAAAGACTAGGCTGCTTTCCAACACTGGCTATCTTTTCAAATACAGATAATACCTTTTGTTCAGAAAGGCTTTCAGCAACTGCCTGCCTGCTAAGAAAGGTGGATTATTATTATTATTATTATTATTATTATTATTATTATTATTATTATATTTATTTATATCCCTTTTTTCTCTCCATAAGGAGACTTGTGGAGAGAGAATAAAATCCTACATTATTTGCTTTGAACTGGATTATATGGCAGTGTGGACTTAGATAACTCAGTTCAAAACAGATATTGTGCCTTGATATTCTGGGTTATATGGCTGTTTGGAAGACCCCTCAAAATGGCTAACGATAAAAGCATTACAGTACAATTATTGTATACAGATATACAAATATTAAAACAGCATTAAACATCATTAGTATTAAAAACAATTCAGATTAAATCCATAAAATCATATACAATCACAGCTGCCCCAGGTATTGCATTTCTTTACTTTAAAGTTTTTGAAATGCTCCGAATTCTATTGTGTTTTAACAGCAGGGCTTGACAGTTGCCAGGGGAGGTTTTGGACATTGGACAGGGAGCAAATAAACAGTTTCTTGTGCAACATCCAAAACAAGATATACATGCTCTGGTTAGACCACACCTGGAATATTGTGTCCAATTCTGGGCACCACAATTCAAGAGAGATATTGACAAGCTGGAATGTGTCCAGAGGAGGGCGACTAAAATGATCAAGGGTCTGGAGAACAAGCCCTATGAGGAGCGGCTTAAGGAGCTGGGCATGTTTAGCCTGAAGAAGAGAAGGCTGAGAGGAGATATGATAACCATGTATAAATATGTGAGAGGAAGCCACAGGGCAAGCTTGTTTCCTGCTTCCCTGGAGACTAGGATGCGGAACAATGGTTTCAAACTACAAGAGAGGAGATTCCATCTGAACATGAGGAAGAACTTCCTGACTGTGAGAGCCGTTCAGCAGTGGAACTCTCTGCCCCGGAGTGTGGTGGAGGCTCCTTCTTTGGAAGCTTTTAAACAGGGGCTGGATGGCCATCTGTCAGGGGTGATTTGAATGCAGTATTCCTGCTTCTTGGCAGGGGGTTGGACTAGATGGCCCATGAGGTCTCTTCCAACTCTTTGATTCTATGATTCTATGATTCTATGCGCATAAACCCAGTTTTAGGAGTTCAGCCTCTTTTACATACATGTCTTGTATTTGGTTGCCATTAAGAGCTGGCTTTTGATTTATTCATCTCCAATTATTCCCCATGAAAATACATTTTTCATTATACTGGTTAGCTTAACAAAAACAATAAGAGGTCTTATGACAACCTTTACTTATTCCCCACCCCCACCCCCCGCCCGCAAATTTTTAGCACAGCAGGTTAAACCGCCAGCTGCAGAAAATCTTGCTGATTGAAAGGTTGGCAGTTCAAACCCGGGTTGAGGTGAGCTCCCACTGTCAGGCCAGCTTCTGCTCACCTAGCAGATCAGCAACAGCAATGTGAGTAGATAAATAAGTACCGCTTTAAGCGGGGAGGTAATAAAAAGGCACCCATAAGGACATGCTAGTGATTCAATTGGGAAGACGTCTATGGATGACAAAGCTCCTCTGCATGGAAGATAGAGCAACAACATCTCCATGTGGCTGGAGTCAAGCACTGCCTCCAGATGCCTGAGATGGGAAAAAAATGGGAAAGCCTTTATACCTCTGTTTTTATATAATCTGTCCTTGTTATTTGTATAAAGGCATTGAATGTCTGTCGTATAAGTGTTCTGTAATCTGTCCTGAGTCCCCACAGGAAAACATAACGGAATATAAATAAAGTAAATTATTATTAGTATATTATTATTACTTTCATGTATTTGTTACTTACATATGGAAATGTAATGCTCATCTGATTTTGCTGTGACTAGATATCCTGATGTTAACATTTCTTCTAATGTTTTCAGGATTATCGTTATGGAAAGTGGTCAAGTGGCCGAATTTGACACTCCGCAGAACTTAATAGCCCAGAAGGGACTATTCTACAGAATGGCGAAGGATTCGGGGCTGGCGTGAGGACTGCATGCAAGGGATAGGTGGTTGATCAAGAAGATCAATGGAAGAAACAAACCAGAATTCACTCTTTGCTAAGCTTGGACAAAGTCAATATGATGGCAACATTGCTCTTCCCCATATAGCCTTGCTACTCAAAGTGTTGGTCCCTGGATTAGCGTCAGTCTCTCAGCTAGTTTCCAGGAAAGAATAAATGAACTATAGCCAATAGACATAACTAAATATAGTGCCGGTCTATGGAGTACTGGGAAAAAATAATTGCTGCATGAGATAAGGCTGAGAGCTACTGATTTATAGGACATAGGAGATATTATGAGGACAAGAGATTAAAAGATTGGGGGGCAGACAAATGCCCATTGTCCCCTATAAAGTTCACTTGGGAGCTTATCAAATTGGGATATAATCCGTTTATATCAGTTTGCATCCTGTATTTTTTAGGACTGGATGCATACTGTATTGAGATGGGAGGCATACTCTCCTCATTACATCTGATTATTATTACAATTCTTATGATTTCAAAATACTGAGCGTTGACTCATCGTACTACAAAAGGCTGGCTCCTCCAAATCCATTCAAAACAACCCCTGCGTCACTCTATGACCTTTTAAAAAGTATGGGATGCATACAGATTTTCCTATTACACACAAACACGGTGCTTCAGTAATGAAATAATCTGTAGTATTTCAAAAAACATTATTAGAATGGATTCGAATTATCAACATACACACAGTGTCGATTGCAAATCAAAGCAAAGTGGTCGATACACATTTGCAATTATTGTTGAGTACACGTGTTAAGCAGTTATCATTAGCAAATATCATAGAAGTTATTATTAGCAAATATTGTTAAATAAATATTACAGATGTCAATTATTCCAACCTATGTGTCTTCAATATGATTGAACTGGAATATATGCGTCTCCACAGCCATATAATCCTGTTCAATGCAGTTATGGATATCTACATTCTGAAACTGCATTATATGGCAGTGTAGATGGGACCTCCATCTCTTAGCAATATTGTTACATCTTGATGGCCTCCTTGGTTTGTGTTTCTAGCATTTTCCTGTAATTTATTTCAAAACAATAAAGCTAAATTGTTTCTTTCCCAGCTATTTATTTATTTGCAGTACTTATATTCCACCCTTCTCACCCCGAAGGGAACTCAGAGTGGATCACAGAACACATATATGACATTCAATGTCGTTGTACACTGACAAGACAAACAACTGTATGCGTAAAAGCTTTTCCCCCATCTTTGGCATCTTGGAGGCTGTGCTTGGTTCCAGCCACTGGGTGTGTGTGTGTGTGCTATCTTCCCTGCCAAAGAGCTTTGTTCATAAACTACCCCCTTGATCAAATTACCATCATTTTTCTGGCATTTTCCTTATGGGTGTATTAAATACTTACCTGCTTAAATGTTTTTTTTAATTTATCGTGTCAGGAGCAACCAGACAGTTGTATTACATTTTTAACAAAACAAAACAAACAGACAGACAGACAAAGCACAAAGTTTGCAGGCTTGGTAGTTGATTAAATGTCCTTTGACCAGTATCTGGCCACTTGGAGTGCCTCTGGTGTTGCCGCAAGGAGGTCCTCCATTGTGCATGTGGCAGGGCTCAGGTTGCATTGCAGCAGGTGGTCAATGGTTTGCTCTTCTCCACACTCGCATGTCGTGGATTCCACTTGGTAGCCCCATTTCTTGAGGTTGGCTCTGCATCTCGTGGTGCCAGAGGGCAGTCTGTTCAGCACCTTCCAAGTTGCCCAGTTTTCTGTGTGCCCAGGGGGGAGTCTCTCATTTGGTATCAGCCTTTGATTGAGGTTCTGGGTTTGAGCCTGCCACTTTTGGACTCTCACTTGCTGGGGTGTTCCACCGAGTGTCTCTGTAGATCTTAGAAAACTATTTCTTGATTTAAGTCGTTGCCGTGCTGGCTGATACCCAAACAAGGGATGAGCTGGAGATGTCCCTGCCTTGGTCTTTTCACTATTGGCTGCTACTTCCCGGCGGATGTCAGGTGGTGCAATACCGGCTAGACAGTCTAATTTCTCCAGTGGTGTAGGGCGCAGACACTCTGTGATAATGTGGCATGTCTCATTAAGAGCCACATCCACTGTTTTAGCGTGGTGAGATGTGTTCCACACTCCAGAAGCCACCAGAAACAAGCCATATTAGGAGAGGCTTAAGCAGCTGGGCATGTTTAGCCTGCAGAAGAGAAGGCTGAAAGGAGATATGATAAGGGCCATGTATAAAGATGTGAGGGGAAGCCATAGGGAGGAGGGAGCAAGCTTGTTTTCTGCTGCCCTGGAGACTAGGATGCAGAGCAAACTACAGGAAAGGAGATTCCACCTGAACATTAGAAAGAACTTCCTGTGAGGGCTGTTCAGCAGTGGAACTCTCTGCCACGGAGTGTGGTGGAGGCTCCTTCTTTGCAGGCTTTTAAGCAGAGGCTGGATGGTCATCTGTCAGGGGTGCTTTGAATGCGATTTTTCCTGTTTCTTGGCAGGGGGTTGGACTGGATGGCCCACGAGGTTTTTTAAGTATAGAGTGCATTCTAGTATGAGAGTATTATTGGTCTCTTTCACGAGGGACCGTTTCCAAGCCTTGAGGATGGTGGCCCCCCGCCCATTATCCGCTTTCTTCTGCATTTCCTTTCTAATGGCCAAGGAAAGGAATGAGCATGCGCAAAGCAGGGCCGCTGGGCGGGCCAAAGGGAGGAGAAATCTGACAGGAGAAAGCTGCGCATGCGTGTTGAGACCAGCGGTGTTTTGTTTTCACGACAGGGGGCGCTGCTTGCTGGCGGAAGAGGCGTGGCGTGAAAGCGGAAGCAGGAGAAGGGGAGCGAGCAAAACAAAGAGGCGGCGGTGGTGGCGGGAGCAGCAATGGCGGGGCGCTGAGGTGAGCGGCTTTCCTTTCCAGAGGGGGGTGTATTCGCCACCTAAGAGGGGAGGAAGGCAGGTGGGTCAAAGCCCTCTCGGCGCCCCTTCAAGGAGCGAAGGACCTCTAACCGTTGGCTGAAGGCAGACGCGCCTTCTGAGGAGGCCAAACTTAAGGAGAAGGAAGAACGAGACCTTCGTGCCCCGTCGCGTTTTGGCTCCTCGGAGGCAGGGGGGGCCTGTTAGTGTAACCCTCTCCTTCTACTCATGGTAGGCCAGGCTTGCGCCAACTTCGGCCCTCCCTCCAGGTGTTTTGGACTTCAACTCCCACAGTTCCTAACAGCCGCTGTTATGAGTTGTGGGAGTTGAAGTCCAAAACATCTGGAGGGAGGGCCGAAGTTAGCCCAGGTTTGCTTTACTCATGGTTTTAGTTTCAGATTTTGGGGAGCTGTTTGTTGCCCTTTCTTTATGTAGACTTCCAGTGGTGCTTTATCTTCTTGGCCTTCTTACAATAATAAATCTTTATTTATATCCTGCTTTTCTCCCAAAAAAAGGACCCAAAGCAGCTTCCAACATATCAAAAACAGTATAAAAACCAACAGCAATTAAACACACATATAACATACGAGACATATGAATGTCATTACTGTTGCCTGTTTTTGGTCAAAAGATATTTAGCCACCTGTGCTCTTCCTATTTTTATTGGTTTTATACTAATTTATGCAATGCATTTGATACGAAATAAAAAATAAAACATATGAAACATCAATTAAATATAAACATAGATATTTAAAAACCATAAACATTTAAAAACCATATTCACCACAGTGATGACTCATCAGATCATATTGCACTTAAGATTACTTGTCCCAATGTATCTCCTCTTATGAACCTTTGCAAAGTTTAAGATCAGTTGGAGAGGACCAGCTCTTGATCCCATGACCATCGGAAATGTGACTGGTGGGGACAAGAGACAGGGCCTTCTCAATGGTGGTCCCTTGCCTGTGGAACTCCCTTCCCAGTGACACCAGACTGGCTCCATCTCTCCCTCCAGTCCTTCAGAAAGAAACTTAAAACCTGGTTATGGGACCAAGAGTTTGAACAGTAAAGGCAGCAATAGAGAATAAGACTCAATGTGATATGAATGACAATGGACTGACCCAGACCTTGATTTTAAACCTGTGTTATTTAAAACAAATACCTTATTAATGTAATGTTTTAATGAATTATTTTAAACATTTTATGATTGTAGTTAGTACTTGAATGAGTGCTTGTTGTGAAGCTGCCCTGAGTCCCCCTCCGGGGGTGAGAAGAACGGAATACAAATGTACGAAATAAATAGATAACCTTCCTGCCACTTCAGTTTAGATTTCTTCACTGAAGACTAACAGAGAGGGAGCTGTTTTGATTTTCTTGGGGAGAGTGTTCCAATGGCTCGGGGCGGTCACTGAGAAGGCCCTCTCTCTCGTCGCTGACAAGAGACTGTGGCAGAAGTGAGAGTAGGGTCTCTCCTAATGATTTTAGTCATCTGTTAGGTTTGTAAGAAGAGATGTGGTCCGATAGGTCAGTTAAACCTGAACCGTTTAGGGCTTTAAAGGTCAAAACTAGCACCTTGAATTGAACTCTGAAACATATTGGCAGCCAGTGCAAGTGCTGTAACAAGGGAGTGGAGCTCTCCCTGAGTCCAGCACCTCTGAGTAGCCTGACTGCATCTCTTTGAACTAGTTGAAGTTTCCGAGCACTCTTCGGAGGCGGCCCCACATAGAGCCCATTACAGTAGTCTAGATGGTATGTAACCAAGGTATGGATCATCATGGCCAAGTGTGGCTTCTCAAAGTATGGGCACAGCTGGCGCATAAGTTTCAATTATACAAAGGCCCTCCTGGCCACTGCCAGGTATGCTTCTTCAACAAAATAAAGCAAAGTGTTATGGGACTATTTAGTGCATGTTTTAAAGTGATATGAGTTGTTCTCTCTTAGCTGCTTTTAGCCTGAAAATAACAATAATGGAAAACCATCTTTCCTCTGTCCTGCTCCTTCCCCAGCCCAGCTTTAGATCTCAAGCTGTAAACCAAGAGCAGTAAATCGTGAAGATGCCAGTCAATGGTATGCAAGACGTACCATTTATATGAGACCTATCTCTTACAGCAGGCATGGGCCAATTGTAGACTGTTAGAAATTGTGGCAGTTGAAGTCCAGAACACTTGGAGGGAGGGCCAAAGTTCACCCAGGCCTATGGTAATGCACTGATGGCGCTCTCTCTGTAAGTTAGGTTACAGCCAAAGTTTGCAGGTGTCAATAATAATAAATAAAAATTAAAATAAAAGAATGGAATAAAAATTAAAAATATAAAAAATAACAAAGAACCATAGGAAGAGACCCATAATAATAATAATATAAATAATATATTGTATTCATTACCTGCCTCTCCTGATGACTTGAGGCAGGTACAACCAATTCAAAAGGAAATGAACATAAAAATACAATGAATTACTAAACTGCACAAACACACACATATGCCAAACACAGATAAAGAATTGACATATAGTGGTAATAGAATACAAATCAAAACTCACAATGAAAATTTGACTGGACTAACCTCTTTCTGCCGGAAGAGATGGAAAATAAAATATGTTATATGTACATATATTAAAACCCATATAGCAAAACATACAGTGCAAAACTCAACATGCAGCGGCAGTAGAATGCAAATCCAAAACTGATGGTTCAAAGTTGACTGCCAGAAAATGTGGCTCTTTAGTTGTGTGATGGGTCACAGCTGAATTTCTCATAGCTTTGTATGTGTGGGTACAGCAAATATATGAGGGAAAAGGAGGGGGAGGGCCACTAAAGGAAAGGAACAGATAAAGGCTTGCACTCATTAATTCCCCCAGCCTCTGTATTGTAGTGTAACCTTTTCCAGCTGGAGGCACTCTCTGAAGGAGGGAGGGAGACGCCTGAATGCTTTGCCTTGTGCTCTTCCTCCCTTCTCTGGCACAAACCTGAAGAGAATGTTGTAGATACGTCATATCTCAATTTCAGTAAGGTCTTTGACAAGACTCCCCATGACATTCTTACAAAACTAGATGATACCAATTTGGGAGAGAGAGCTAATACTCCAGAAGGAAAATATCATAATACAAAATAACCTTTACAGATTGGAGAGCTGGGCCCAAACAAACAAAATGAATTTCATCAGGGAGAAATGTATGATACCACACCTTGACAAAAAAAGTGAAATGCAGAGATACAGGGTGGGTGATTCTAGGCATGAAGACAGTCCATGTGAAAGGGATCTGGGGGTTTTAGTAGACTGCAAACTGAACATGACTCAACAGTTCAATGCAGCAGTTTAAAAAGCCAACACGATTCTAGGTTTCATCAATGGGAGTATAGTACTAATATTGAGGAAAGTCATAACCTCACTCTATTCTACTTGGGTCAAAACTCACCTGTAATAACACTGTGTCCAGTTCTGGACATGACAATTAAAAGAGATGGCTAAGGTAAAATGTGTCCAGAGAAGGGTGACCAAAATGATCAAAGATTGGGAAACCAAACCCTATGATAAATGACTGAGGAAGCTGGGATGACTAGCCTGGAATAAATAAGTCTAAGAGAGGATAGGGAGAGCCATGTTTAAATATTTGAAAGGATGTCACACTGAGGAGGATGCAAGCTTGTTTTCTGCTTCTCTGGAGACTGAGACACAGCAATGGATTCAAATTGCAGGAAAAAAAGATTCCACCTGAACATGAGATAAAGCTTCCTGATGATAAGAGCTATTTGGCAGTGGAATATGCTTCCTCAGGGTGTGGTGGTGTCTCCTTCTCTAGAGGTTTTTAGGCAGAGGTTGGATTACCATCTGTCATGAGTGCTTTGATCGTGTGTTCTTCAATGACAGGGAGTTTGTCTGGATGGCACTTGTGCTCTCTTCCAGTTGTGTAATGTATGTTGCATTTTGACTAATGGAAACAGTGTACTGAATATTTATACTGTACCACCTATAAATGTATGATGCTTATGAGGCCGATCATTTCTGAAAATAACTTAAGATATAGTAGCTTGTACTTTTTTTTCTTAAATACTCATCTGAGTTCATTTACCTGACATATATTTCCCTGATAAACACTAATTTTAATTCCTATACCTAGACTTATGTTTAAAACATACACATTTTTGCAGGTAAAGAGAATGACAGAAAGGAAATATGGGAGAATGTTGACCTTTCTGTGGTTGTATAATGGAAGGAAATGAAAGAGAGGACATCTGTACCAGATCGCTTGGATGGCTTCAAAGGCAAGATAATGATGCTAAACCATGGCTCTGGAAATTCTCCAGTTGTTTTTCAACTACTGAACAAAGTTTTCCTCTTGGTCCCCAAATGGTAGGATACAGATACAAATTTGCTGAGTGGAATTCTAGTTTCTCTATTTAGGATTTTAAGTAGTCCAATGTGTGTCTTTTAACAGGGGAGGTGCAATCTCTCAAGGTTTTTACTGCTCTTCTGAAAAGAAGCTTGCTTCTACCTGAGAAATGAATAATCATTGTTTCTTACTTCATTAAGATTATCATGTTTACAGTTTGTTTTCAGCCTAGCTGCAATTTTGACTTCTCATTCCTGATTGTTTGCCAGCTGTCATTAGTAGTAGTTGCCTGATTCTCTATCCCTGTTATTGTCCTCATTGTTAATTTAGTTTCATTTGTGTTCACAAATAATTTAACGATTGTCACTAAAGCCTAGTTACTAAGAATTGATTAGGGTTTTTGTATGATCCCTTTCCCTCACCATTTTTAAAAGGATAACATAGCTTCTGTTGAGTATCTTGTCATGCAAAGATAATTGTTTTTTTTAGTAACAAATTCTAGCATGGTAGACATATATTGCAAAAAACCCCAATAAGTAACTCAAAAAGAAATTCATTTATTATGACAAGCTTTTGTGGGATGATTTTTTCTTGAATGTTCTATAATTGATTTGCTAATTGACATACATCAAAAAGATTTGAAAAACACTATTGGATTTGGGCTGAACTGAAATTGAAAATAGCTATATTGTCTCAAGTTCTCAATGAGGAACAGTTTAGTTAGCTTAGAATAGTCGAAGGCAGTGGTTCTCAACCTGTGGGTCCCTAGATGTTTTGGTCTACAAGTTTCAGAAATCCCAGCCAGTTTACAAGCTGTTAGGATTTCTGGGAGTTGAAGGCCAAAACATCTGGGGACCCACAGGTTGAGAACACTAGTCTAAGGGTTTCCCTTCCCCTATGTCTCCTGTATGAGAGTTGGGAATATATTTATTTCTTCTCTCCTCTCTACTCTCATTCTGATTGGTTGTGTAGAATAGATAATTTTCTACTTTTTCTGACTCCTGTTTTCTTAGATTCTGAGTATGTGCTGTGTGCTTTGAGATCTCTCTCTGCGTGTATATCAGAGATGTAGTGATTGGTGTTTCCCCCCTCTTTCTTGAAACCTTAGAAGAGATGGGTGTTAGAGTAACTCAGACCCAGTTCTTTATCATTAAGAAATGCAGTTATTGTTTATTATTGTAAATAAACCTTTTGTGATTTTTAAGATTGGACTCTGCAACTTTTCCTGCCTAAGCTCTTAATTATTTACAGCTACATCACATGGCACTTCACACTCTGCTCAATAATGAGCTAATGCTCAGCTTTTGTATCCTGTTTGATTTTTGGATGTTCTGCTATATTTTAGAGTAGTTTTCCCTAACACATTGCTTTGAGAAATAGTCTTTTAGTGGGCAAGTACACTGTCATTCTAGCTCTTCTTACTGATAGTTAGAACTGTATTCTTGGTTGTATCTCATTTTGATTTGTGTTCTATATTGTAATGGCAAACTATCTCCTAAGTTTCCATTACTGAATGACAAAGTAAAGATGTACCTATAAAAACCTAGGCCGCAATAAATGTGACAACTTAATATGTTACAAGAGGTCTTTTTTTACTTAATTTTATGTAAAACTAATTACACTGAGCAAACATCTGTCCAGTTATTTTGTGTCTTCTTGACGATGGCTTCTTATCCACAATATGTTAGACCAGTGTTTCTCAACCTTCCTAATGCCGCGACCCCTTAATCAGCGCCTCATGTTGTGGTGACCCCCAACCATAAAATTATTATCATTCCTACTTCCTAACGGTACTTGTGTTACTGTTCTCAATCATAATGTAAATATCTGAAATGCAGGATGTATTTTCATTCATTGGATCAAATTTGGCACAAATATCCAGTAACAGAGCTCCATGCAGTCATGTCAGCCTAGAAATTGAGCACCAACCCCCAGAGTTGGACACAATTGGACTTAATGTCAGGGGAAAAAATGTACCTTACCTTACCCAATAAGCCAAATTGGTGGGGTTGGAGGGAGAATTGATTTTGTCATTTGGGAGTTGTAGTTGCTGGGATTTATAGTTCACCTACAATCAAAGAGTATTCTGAACTCTACCAACAATGGAATTGAACCAAACTTGACTCACAGAACTCCCATGACCAAGAGAAAATTCTGGAAGGGTTTGGTGGGTATTGACCTTGAGTTTGGGAGTTGTAGTTCACTTATATCCAGAGAGCACAATGGACTCAAACAATGATGGATCTGGACCAAACTTGGCATGCCCAAATGTGAACACTGGTGGAGTTTGGGGGAAAATAGACCTTGACATTTGGGAGTTGTAGTTGCTGGGATTTATAGTTCACTTACAATGAAAGAGCATTCTGAATCCTGTTAACGGTAGAATTGGGCCAAACTTCCCACATAGAACCCCATGACCAACAGAAAATATTGTGTTTTCTGATGGTCTTTGGCGACCCCTCTGGCATCCCTTTGTGACCCCCTCAGGGGTCCCAAATCCCAGGTTGAGAAACACTGTGTTAGCCCATCTTGGAACTCATAAGAAGTAATCTAATGGGGCTTAGAATAGAAGATCCTGAAGCAGGATAGTACTGAAGAGTGTTACCCTGTGCAGTTATTTGCTTCCACACATCTTTGTCTGCCATCTGTGCACTAATACTGGTGGCCTTTGTAAACTAGTCTGTATTCTGTTTCTCTTCTTGCTCCAATGGATTGAAAAATGCAGTGGATAAATTATGCAAAGTAAGTATACTCAAGGGAGTCAACTTACAGTGTTGCCTAATGTGGCTTCTTAGATAGTTGTTACTGCAATCCAGTTATTTTTGTATGTAATGAGCTTTTTTGTATTTGTTCAGGTTTATCCTTCATGTGCCAAGAGTTGTAGCTTGGTGTATTTCCACTGATCTCATACTGATCTTTATGACTCTTTGTCTCTCTAGAACAAGTACATGGAGAACAAAAAAGCTACAGTGGAGTTGAAAGCCACTCCATCCCCTCATCCTACTGCTTCAAAACAGTTTGCAGCTGTCCCCCTTCCAAGTGTGCACTCTCTCCAACAAACACAAATACAACTTTCACCTGCTTCTAAAGTAAGCTGTTGTCCTCATGGTTCTGACTCTTCCTCTCATGCTCCTCAGCTACATTTTGGTGGTGGCAGCACTTTGATTCACCCTGGCACAGTAGTGGACTTAAAAGGCACCGGGACAGTCACTTGTCAAATAGGGGCAGGATTTGCTAATCAGGCTGCATCTTCACTCAAGAGTGGTGTTCCGGTTGGAAGCGGTGTAACAGGCGTTGCCAGCGACTTGTCCAGAGTGTGCTTGGAAAACAGTGTCTCTTCCTGTCCACACTTCCCATGCTGTGGAAAGCTCCACTTCCAGTCCTATCACAGTAATGTACACAAACTGCATCAGTTTCCTTCTCATCAAAGCTGTACAACTTCGGGTTATTTTTCCTGTTCTCAATTCACAAGTGGGGCTGAAGGGCTTTTGAAGCAACACATTTCACAATCGGAGCAAAAGTCTTGTGTTTGCACCAACTCGCTGCACCTGAAAGTGGCACCTTCAGTTTGTTTAAAGGGCTCTCACTACTGCACTGAGTGTTTAAGTAAGGTCTGTAACATTCTCATTTACAATGTACTGTGTATTGTGAAATTTTCAATAGGCCATAAATTGGGAACAATTACATTTGGAATGTATAGTATTAATCCCTTAGTGTCAATCTGACCTCAGCTTAAGGCTAGGAGAAAAACCATAAAATATAAAAGCTTGAAAGCAACTTTTATCTTCAGTTTTAAGTTTTTTGAAGCATTAGCTGATAATTTGACTGGCCAAGGGTTGCTTTCACTAGAGGGCATTCCTCAGATGTCTGTGCAATTCCTGCCTATTGGGTGAGAGGGAGAAACATTCCTTTTTAGGATGTTCAACTCTGTTCTGGGACATCAACATATCACAGGTAAGACCAGTGTTTGTTTTCTTCAATGGTTAACTACAATTCTTTCTTCTCCTTAGTCTGATTAATACAGTACACTTGAGTGATAACGGAATATTTTCTCCAACAGCCATCCAGAGACAGTTTGGTTGAGGCTGTTAAAATATGGCCAAATATTCCCCCTCCAAATGCCCAAGCTGCTGCTCCTGTCTCCCTTCCCATATGTAATGGCTGTGGAACCAATGGAGCAAGAAAAGAGAAGACTTTACTCTTGGGAAACGGCTTTGGCACATTGTCGCAGAAATACGGTAAAGCATATTGACAGAATAAATAAAATTATAGCAGTTTTAATATTTTTTGCATTCATGGTGTGCTGGTTGAAAGGAGTGATGACTCCTTTTTTTAGAATAACAATGGTGTTGTACAGTGGGTAGTACTGGACTTTGGTCAGGGAGATCTGTTTTCATAACCTTGGACGAGCGCAGGTTTTGTGATTAGATGTGTTCACTGATTCTAAAAGCAATCTGTGGTTAACTGACTGGGATGATTTTCTGCTGTCTTTATAGCTGTTGCTGGTGAGCGACCACAAAACACATTTGCTCAGTGGAGCACCAAAATCCCCTTTTAAATAAAACCATATTGGCTGTAGGAAATCTGCAAGCTATAGTACAGAAAGTGCTTCTACTACCCATGCCTTACTTGCAGCCATTTAGGGGACATAGGGCTGTTGAGTTACTAATATTTGATCTTTTAAGCTTTTTAAGTTCTGAAGAGAGTGACAAAATACCACTTTAGGAAAAGCTATTTTTGCTCTTCATGTGAATATGCATTCTCTAGCAAACATTGTGTAATGTGCGAGACAGACCTGTGATAAAAAGTTGCATTGACCATTTTGAGAGCCAGCGTGGTTTAATGGTTTGAGTGTTGAACTTTTTTTTCGTGTCAGGAGTGTCTTGAGAAATTGCAAGTTGTTTCTGGTGTGAAATAATTGGCCGCCTGCAAGAACGTTGCCCAGGGGATGCCCGGATGTTTGATGTTTTACCATCCTTGTGGGAGGCTGCTCTCATGTCCCCGCATGGGAAGCTGGAGCTAACAGAGGGAGCTCAACCCACTCTCCCTGGATTCAAACTGCTGACCTGTCAGTCAGCAGTCCTGCCAGCACAAGGGTTTAAACCATTGTGCTATTGGGGGCTGTAGTGTTGAACTATGAGTCTGGGACATCAGCATTTGAATCCCTGACCTTTCATGGAAACAAAAGGTGACATTGGGTCACACTCTTTGTCTCACAGAAAGGCAATGGCAACCTTCTCTGAACAAGTTTTGCCCAAATTCCTTCTGATTAGTTGCCTTAAATTCAAGCAGCTTAAAGGCACATAACAAAAGTGTTCAAGAGAGACCTAAGATAAAGGTTGCAAGTTGACAATTTACCCTTTCCGAATACAGGGTCTCCAGAAGTTGCTATAACAGGCCAGCTACTAGAAAACCTGCCTCCCATTGGAGTCTTTTGGGATATTGAAAATTGTTCAGTTCCTTCTGGCCGATCTGCTGTTGCTGTGGTACAACGGATTCGTGAAAAGTTTTTTAAGGGACACAGAGAGGCAGAGTTCATTTGTGTGTGTGACATCAGTAAAGAAAACAGAGAAGTTATTGAAGAACTAAACAACTGCCAGGTAAGATCTCCACAGTTGGCTGCTTCATTGGCATATCTATTTGGCTTTGATTTTGACCAGAAAGGACTTTAAAGGTTCCTAGGATTGGAGGGAGCCTTGTAAGCCATCTTGTTCAACCCAATAATTTGTGCAAGAAATTCTAAACTTCAGTTGCCGAAAATGGCTGTGCAACCTGTTCTTAAAAACAATAAGATAGTGTGATGGACTATTTATTACCAAATTACTTAGTAAATTTCTCATTATGTTCTTATAGAAGATCAGGTATGGGCAAAGTTGGGCATTCTGGGTGCTTTGGGTCCCTAGCGGCTTTTAGGAATTGTGGGAGTTGAAGTCCAAAGCACTTGGAGAGTCCAAGTTTGCCCATGCGTGTTATAGATGAAACCCACAAGATTTAATGCAACCCCTTTGCAGGCAATCCAAATAAACCTTTACCTCTTCAATATGACAAATCTCCAGTGTTTCCAGAGTCCCCTTTCAATGCTTCATGTTCAACATACTGAGATCCTTTAGATTTTTTGTTATATTACTACTTTCCCATACATTTGAATGTTCTTGTTGGCTGCCTTTGAATGTGTTCTGACTCCTTGCATCTTTTTTAAAGGGCTGTGTTTGTTAGACACAGCAGATGTGTCTAATTAAGATGTTAGTGTGAGTTTGACTTTGTGGCTCTTAAGGAGAACTACTTGCAGCTGCATCACTTGGTTCTCTGTTATGCTACATTTAACTCATGCCTGTCTTCGTTCTGTTTCTTTAGGTTACAGTTGCACACATTAATGCCACAGCAAAAAACGCAGCTGATGACAAACTCAGACAGAGCCTTAGAAGATTTGCAGATACTCATGCTGCCCCAGCCACGGTGGTCCTTGTATCAAGTATGTGTCAACAGTGTGGATTTTTTGTGTTTGATTCTTGCAAGGTTTAAAAATCTGCTCAGTTTTGGACAAGTCTAAATATTCCAACTTCAGAATTATGCCAGTTATTCTAACATAGTTTCCCCCCCTACACAGTTGAAATCAATATCTGATCAGCTGGACAATGTTTTTCTATTTTTGCACTAGTTATCATAACTTACAAATAGTAATAGTCTTGTTTTATTTCTTCTTGGCCACAGAGTCAGCATTAAGTGTCTATGATGACTTGAGTGGATCTAAAGAACAATAATAATCAACATTAGGTTTTGTGATATTGTTGTCAAAAGACATGCTGCTGATAGGAGGTGTGAAAATTGCACTAAAGTGTAATATAAATCCATAATTGGCAATATTATATGAACTCGGATGCTACAAAACTAATCCTCCATCATGTCAGCTGGTACAAAAGGCTTTCTGTCATATAATCCGAGGGAAAAATCTGGAGAAGATTAAAACTTTTGTGACATTTCAGTTGGTCCTAATAAGCTTATCGCCCAACTAGATTTTTAAGATGAGAGGGGATATTTTCCTTCTTTACCTGTCTTTTACCTGTCTTCATGGGTCATGATTCTGCATTGGAAGACATAGCTGCAATGGCAGGGCTCTGTCACTGTAGCTACATTTCCCATTGTGACTTCAGGCAACCTGCCTTAGATGCCAGATAGCTTCACCAGAATAAACATGAACTGGCTTTTGAAAGAAACTTGTAAGGAATTTAATGGAGGCAATGCAATGTCTAGCGGTAAGTTGCGAAGGAAAAGGTTTCTCACCACCGTTCCTGTCCTATATTGAGTTTCTTAAATATTGACATGTTCATATTTGTAAAGAAAACTATCAAAAACTAGTTAAACAAATGATTTGTGTTTTCTTGTGTTTATGTTTACAGCTGATGTGAACTTTGCTCTTGAAATCAGTGATTTGAGACACCGCCATGGTTTCCACATAATCCTGGTGCATAAAAACCAGGCTTCTGAAGCACTTTTACATCATGCTCATGAACTCATCGGATTTGAAGAATTTATTTCTGATTTACCTCCAAGATTACCAGTGAAGAAGCCAGTAAGTGATTTCTTCTCTCTGTGTGGGTTTGTTTGTGTTTTTTTTTTTTTTTGCTTTTATCTAGATGAACAGATTGTAGAATTGCAGGTTTCCTTTCTGTTAAGTTAATCTGTTTCTAAGCATAGCTTTACTGGGGTATTTCTGTATAGCAGAAGTGGAAAATTGTAAGCTCTCCAGGTGTTTCGGGCTTCAGTTCTTGTAACCATGGATTCTGGTAGGTTGAAAGACAAAATATGGGAGAGTCCAAATTTGTATAGCTGTGTATACATAAGGAGAATGCCCATGGATTTAGGGATGGAAGTAGAAGGGAGAAGAAAGGAGGTTGATGTACTACAGAGGCAACTGATACACCAATTAGATGAACTCTTCATTTTAAATCAGTTTTCAGTGATGGAAGAGTTGCTGGGACAGCTGTGTTTTACCAGGATGCTGCCTTCAAAGGCCACTCATGGATTGTAGAGACATGAGTGGTGTTTGTGAATATTTCAACTAAAATCTTTTCCAACCAGGTCTCTAGGTTTTGTTACACATAATTTGTCTCTAAGGCTATTGATTTTGTTGTAGCACCCTAGTTGAAATCTAGGTATGATTGTGTTGCTCCCCTGGAAGCTTACTAAAACTTATTGTTTTCTCAATCAGGCATGCCATGCACTTTTATATGTTTACAACCTGCCAACAAACCGAGACAGCAAAAGTGTTTGCTACAGACTTCGGCGCTTGTCAGACAACTGCGGGGGAAAAGTCCTGACTATTTCTGGCAACAGTGCCATCCTCCGCTTCTTGAATCAAGATAGTGCTGAGCGTGCTCAGAAACGAATGGAGAATGAAGATGTTTTTGGCAACAGGATTATTGTATCCTTTACACCTCAAAGCAAAGAACTGGCTGAAACCAAGAATGCGAGTATGACAGGAGCAGACAAACTGAAGTCTCCCAAAAAAATGAACAAAAACACAAAGCTGTGCCTCATGAATCGAGAATCAAGTGATCAGTCTTCTGCCATAAAAACAACTGTGGGGAAAGGGTCTCAGGCACATGGTGTAGCTCCAAAGAATGCAAGTGTAAAGAGCTTACAGGTAAAGACTTTATAGTTTGTGCCAGTGATTCTCAGCTTTTAGTCCTCTAGGTGGTTTGGACTTTATCTCCCAGAAATCCCAGCCAGCTTACTAGTTGTTAGGAATTGTGGGACCTGTGAAACTTGTTGCTCTCTAGATTTTGCTGATTCGCAGTCTTACCACTGGATTCTGACCACTGGCTACACAGGCAAGAACTTATGACAATTTGACAACAACTGAAGGGCCACAGCTTCCCACCCCTAATTAACACTGTTATTTGAAAAGTTTTTGAAAAAATTAATCAGTTTAGCTTATACTTAACACATAGACTTTAAGAATCATAGTGAAATAACAAAGACATGTGATTCCAGGAGCTGGACTTTTGTATGCTGCATATGGAACTTCCACTTAACCAAAGTTGTGTAGGATGTAGTGCTTTCTGCATTCCCTACTTCATTATCTCATTTGCTGCTGGTAATAAATATGATAAATTCTTTCACTGACTGATATTGCTTGAAAGAGTTTGAAGACTTTAAAATGTTTGAGCCACATGACTGATTTGTCTCTTTTTATAATTGTCAGACAAGTCTGTTGTATAGTGCAGGAGGCCTCCATTTTGTTTTTACTGTAAACCTACTAGTAATTCTCTGGTCAAACTTTTCCTGCTTCCTTATAAATATTTTTTATTATTTAAAAAACTAATTGCTGAGTGGATGTAAACCACCCAGATAAATTTTATTATAAGCCTCATCTTTGATTACTTGTTTTCCTGAAGGAACTGTGTCGTATGGAGTCAAAAACTCTGAAAAACTCTGAAAACTGCCAAGACCAGCTAAAAGAGAACTCCATGTCAAGTTCGGTATCTCCAGCACATAAAAAATCCGGAACAGGCGAAGCCATTCATAAAAACAATCAGAAGTATGTCTTGAGTCTAATTCAAATGTCATCAAAATACGTCCACAGAACAAATTAGTAATGAGTTCTTCTTTAACACAGGAAAGATTTACCTTCAGCAAGGAGTGTCAGCAACTCCCTAGTAGAGAGAAAAGAGAAGAATGATGTATTCCAAGTTAGCTATCCATCTGCGTTCAGCATGCTCAGTGCATCGAGGCAACTCAGCCCTGTTTTGGTGTCTCAAAGCTGCTGGTCATCAAGGTAAATGTCTCCTGCAGCCCAAAGCTCTTGGGCTCCATTATCAGGCATATTTTTGAATGTCCTGTGTGTTTGCTTGTCCAGAGAAGCTAAGAGTGCCCTGTGTATTTTGGAATCCAACACAGAATTGGCACTTTCCTCTTACCACTCTTCTGCTATAGCCCTCTGTAGTGCCAGGAAATGCTCCAGAGAGTTCTCCAGCTCTCCAAACCAAGTAGAACTGTAGATATTGCCCACTGAATAGGGTGAGATAATTCCTTTTTCACATTGTATAAATTTGAATAGTTATTTCTGATGCTGTGATATTGTCTAAGAAGGAGATGCTTGGAAGTATTTTTCAAGGGAGGGGGTTATATTGAGAATCCAATGATACCAATTCTTTGTGTGGAAGAAACTAAAAGATAACAGAGACAAACCTGGAGTTGCACTTCTGTAATTTGTGATCAGTGGATCTGAGGGATAAAATGATAATTGCAAACAAAAATGTGAAAACCAAGAAATACATGCTACAAAGCCAGCATAGTAGACAGTGACATTTGCGGCATCTCTTCATGTGGAGGAAAGTGTTTTCCATTTTATTGTGAAAGGTATTTGTACATCTGAAAGTATAATTCCCCAAAGAGGCTTTATATGTGTGTTCTGTGCAATAGAATGATCAATTCTAAACTTCCCTCCTTTCCTTCCATTTACTTGATCAGGAGTGTGTCTCCAAATGTCTCAAACAGATCTTCTCCTCTCACTTTCAATGTCGTCAATTATACTGGTAATACAGGATGTCTAGAGCCATACACAAATGGAGTGGACATTCAAATTAGCAATCTAGACTACAGATTGTCCAGAAAAGAACTGCAGCAAACCTTGCAAGAAACATTCTCTAGGCATGGGAAGGTAAACAATAATTACTTTACTCATCTTGTGTCTGTCAGATTATTTAAAAATCTTTATCTTTAACAGATCATTAGTATTGTTCCAGATTGTACAATAACTTAAGTGAATGTTTACATTTTTAATTTGGCAGGTGCTATGAAATGGTACCTATGGAGTGAAATCTAGAACAATTTAACAGATTGTATATGTATAACACAGTCCAACAAAACAAAGTCTTTGTGTCTTGTTTTTTAGGCCTGTTCCTGGGATTATTTGGGGTACTGAGTCAGAAAAAATGCATTAGATAGACAGCGACAGCTCTAGTTTCTTAGATATGGTTATCATGATTCTTTATGGGTGAGCAAATAAGACTGCTGTACTAGCATATTTTCTGTATCTAAAAGGCTAGAGCTGGTAGGGGAAAACTGGTGCCATTTTTGGAATCAGCAGGTCAAATATACCCAGAAACAGGATTAACATTTGAGGCACCAAAATGTATGTTGACCAGTGTACTCTGTCAGCAAAATAAAGAAGGAGTCCAGAACCCAGAGGGTGATTCTCCCCAATGCTTCCTCTTCAACCTGAAAAGAAGGGACAAGTGGAGTGCCATAAGCAGGATTTTGTCATGGGCCCAGTTCTTTTCAACATCTTTGTTAATTACTTAGATGAAGGGTTAGAAGGCATGATTATAAAGTTTGCAGACGACACCAAATTGGGAGGGATAGCCAATACTTCAGAAGACAGGAGCAGAATTCAAAATGATCTTAACAGATGAGAGAGATGGGCCAAAATTAATCAAATGAAGTTCAAAAGTGACAAATGCAAGATACTCCACTTAAGCAGAAAAAAATGAAATGCAAATATACAGAATGGGGGACAGTGCCTGATTCAACAGCAGTATGTGTGAAAAAGATCTTGGAGTCCTTGTGGACAGGAAGGTGAACATGAGCCAACAATGTGATGTGGCAGCAAAAAAAACCTAATGGGATTTTGGCCTGCATCAATAGGAGTCTAGTGCCTAGATCCAGGGAAGTCATGCTACCCCTCTATTCTGCCTTGGACAGACCACACCTGGAATCACTGTGTCCAGTTCTGGGCACTGCAATTGAAGGGAGATGTTGATAAGCTAGAATGTGTCCAGAGGAGGGTTTGGATCAAGGGTTTGGAGAACAAAGCCCTATGAGGAGCGGCTTAAAGAGCTGGGCATGTTTAGCCTGCAGAAGGGAAGGCTGAGAGGAGATATGATAGCCATGTATAAATATGTGAGAGAAAGCCACAGGGAGGGGGGAGCAAGCTTGTTTTCTGCTTCCCTGGAGACTAGGACACGGAACAATGGCTTCAAACTAGAGGAAAGAAAGGAGATTCCACTTGAACATGAGCAAGAACTTTCTAACTGTAAGAGCCGTTCAGCAGTGGAACTCTCTGCCCCTGAGTGTGGTGGAGGCTCTTCCCTTGGAGGCTTTTAAACAGGGGCTGGATGGTCATCTATCTGGGGTGCTTTGAATGTGATTTTCCTGCTGCTTGGCAGAAAGGGGTTGGACTGGATGGCCCACGAGGTCTCTTACAACTCTATGATTCTATTATTGTAGTTATATTGATTTGCATGTTGGGTTAGGACTCTTGGGAGACCAAGCTTTAATCCCTGCTCAGGAAACCTACACAGAGACCTTGGGAAAGTTACATCCTTCCATCTCTAGAGCAAAGCAGCTAGTCTTCTCTGAATAAAACTTTCTAAGGTTTCCATAACAATAATCAAAAGAACTTAAATGCCAAGTCAAAGTGTTTTGTACTAGTACTTCTTGCTGTGAGCTGCACAGTCACCTTTTCAGCCAAAAACACAACCTTGAAGTTAGCTAAATTTGACTTTCATTTTGCACTTCAGTGTTGTCACCTGTTTTTGCGGTTGACACATGAGACTGATGTTAAAAGGCAAAACCCTGGTATGCTTTCTATTATTTCGTGTATGTTCGGAGCTATTTTAAGATTCTGAAGACTCGATTGGTACAAAAAAGTGTTAGGGGCTTCTGTGGCTCGCAGTGTTACCACTAAACGACTTGTGGTGACTTTGAAATGATCTTGTTTCAAATCCATTTTAGGCATTTTGGTCATACTCCTTAACTCAGATATGTTGATAAAGTTTTCATCTCTTCAGGTAAAGACTGTAGAACTCAGTCCTCATACTGATTATCAGCTGAAAGCTTTAGTTCAAATGGAAAATCTACAAGAAGCAATTACTGCTGTCAACAGTCTTCACAGATGCAAAATCGGCAGCAAGAGGATCCAGGTTTCTCTAGCTACTGGAGCGACCAATAAATCTCTGGCATTAGTTAGGTAAGGTAAAAAAAAATCCTAACATGTTATTTCCTGACAATCCTAAAGGCTGAAGATGGTCTGTGATTGGGAAAAAGTTCTCAGAAAGGGTATATATAAAGGGCTTTTGTTTTGTCATAGAATAGGCTTCGTATGTGTTCTTTGGATGTTTTTGAAGTATTACATATTTCTTCCTCTATAGGACTGGTTAGGACTATTTAAATAATTCTGTCCATAATTAGTTATCAGGTTGGGTAAAATCAGTTGAAGAAATATAAGCAATTTGAATAAATCAAAATAATCAGAAAACGATTAAGTGGAGGAAAAACTAGTCCATAACAACTGAATCTTAAAAACAAGGCTTTTTCCTAAGTATCAGTGCATTTTTCAAGAGGGGAACATTCCACACCTCGTAACTATAGGCGAGAAGGCTCCCTTACACATTTCCACATGTTGGCGTAAGTTAAAGACTTACAGCTTCTAACAGAATGGCCTTCTGAGTGGACATGTAGGCCAGTGTCCCCTCAAGTATAAATGTTCCCAGCCATTTATAATCACAGTACTGAAACAACTGAGGGTCCCAATTTGGGGAATAGTTAGTTACCTTGCTATGGATAAATCTATAGTTTTGGTTTCAAAAAGAGTCAGGTAGACATAGATCAAGTGCAGCAGAAGATAACTTTGGCCATCCTAAACTATTCAATCTGTGCTAACAGAGCAATTATTTAATTTGCAGTGCAGAAGCCATATCCATCCTTCAAGATGCTCCAGCTTGTTGCCTGCCCCTTTTCAAGTTCACAGAGATCTACGAGAAAAAGTAAGTTTGAAATTTGCAAACCAAATTTAATTTTAAGAAATAATTAATGTTTCTTTTTTTCTGTTGACTTGTTGCATTTTTAAAATTACTATTTTGGGAGAGACCTGAGTCTTTCCTTCATCTCTTGCACGTCACTTAATTTTTTAAAATCTCATTTTTTGCTAGGTTTGGACATAAATTAAATGTGTCAGACTTGTACAGATTAAGCGACACTGTAGCAGTCCGTGATCAAGGCAGTAGTCGACTTGTCTGTCTCTTGCCCAGCAGTCAAGCTAGACAGAGCCCTTTGGGATCTTCACAATCCCATGATGGTTCTTCAGCTAACTGTAGTCCTATAATATTTGAAGAACTGGAATATCATGAACCCATTTGTAAGCAGCACTGCATAAATAATGACTTCAGGTAAGCTGTGCTTGATTATTACATTTGGTCCTGGAGCTGAACATGTTGTGCTTTATTAAACATGTCTAAGGTTTCTTACTGTGTGGCCAAGATTCAGTAGTGTCTTAGGTTTCCAACATGAATGGATCTGAGACCCTCTCCCCCCACCCCCGCATTGTCTGTGGCACCAAATATTTGCTCTAGGTAGTTTTTTTGCCTTCCAGAGTAGGTTTTTACGGTATTTAGGAGAGAAGAAGACAGCTTAGGAAAAAAAGAATGGTCTCCAGTGTTGACAGAAGTAGCAGGATACATTACTGGATCCTGGCAATTGTGTTTTGTAAGCACATGTTCATTTAAGTGGAGTTATTTTAATTAATGTTTTTAAGACCAGGGTAGGACAAAAAAATGAGGCTCAGGCCCCACTTTTGCAGATCCTGAAGGTTCTCCAAATCCAATTTTTAAAAATGATTGATTTGGGGGCAGATTTCACACAGCATGCCCCATGTGCTTTTTGTCCTGGCCAAAATGGAAACAGGAAGTGATGTAACATCATGATCAGTACTATTTGGTGGGTATAATAAATAAAAAGTACTGTCTGGTGGGTGTGAACTGCAGGGAAGGTTTGAACCATTAGTCCATAGTTTCTGTGCAGTGTTTTAATGGAAATCCGAACTTTCCAGCACATTTTATTCCTATCTGATTACTGTGAAATAGCCTCTGATGCCATTTAGCTTTCTGATTTGAGTTAAGTATTGGAATATTTGGAAGTTTTTTCTGAAAGTATGCATAAAAGTCAGGAGACTGCTTTTAATTTTTATGGGTGTAAATTCACTATTTTTTGCACTTATGAAAAAAAAGTGGAAGTATTTATTGCTGATAGAGAGCTACATTCAATCAGTTTGGACAAGGCTGAACTACCTGGATTTATAGTCTGTCTCAGTATATGATAATCTATTATCTTTTTGCTCTCTGTACCAAATAATTATACTGGTTGAGTATCCCTCATCTGATGTGCTTGGGACCAAGTGCTTGGGTTTTCAGATTTTTGGAATAACTGTCTTTCCATGTATGTACATAATGAGATATCTTGGGGACGGGACCCAAGCCTAAACATGAAATTCATTTGTGCTTCATGTACACCTTATACACAGAATCTGTGAACATTATTTGATACAATACTTTAAATAATTTTGTGCATGACACAAAGATTGTGTACATTGGACCATCAGAAAGCTAAGGTGTTACTATCTCAAGTATCCATGGGCATATTTCAGATCTTGAAATTCCAGATATGGGATGCTCAACCAGTACTGTATATTGGGCATATGTTTTCTGCATTCGATCCTCTTTGAAAAAATTAAACAATTGTTTTCTTTATTACTCTAGTGAACATGACTTTGACCCTGACTCTTACAAAGTTCCCTTTGTGATTTTATCTCTGAAGACCTTTGCACCCCAAGTTCATAGCTTGTTACAGACTCATCAAGGGACAGTGCCATTGCTGAGGTGAGATATTTCTGTAATTGCAATGTACTGTGCAGAATTAGGTGAAATAACTTCTCACATAAACACTGTGAACAGAATTATTGGGGTGGCACAAGGAGCAATCCACTTTTGCTGGGTCAGTTAAGACCATGCGATCATTTGCCTCTCCTGAGCAGCAGCAAGAATTAAGAGCTGTTTTTTCCATGGACAAGAACAGGAGTTCATAGTAATACCCAACATAAGTATTTCTGCTTACTTTTTACAGCTTTCCTGACTGCTATGCTTCAGAATTTAGCAGTTTAGACATGGTGCAAGAGGGCCAAGGAGGCGTTTCTTTAGAGCATCTCATTACTTGTATTCCTGGTGTTAATATTGCTACTGCACAAAATGGCATCAAAGTTGTAAAGTGGATACATAACAAGCCACCACCTCCCACAACAGGTATATGTTTAACTTTTTAATATATCCCTGTTTTTTTTTCACTACTTGCTTATGATCTCAGTAATACACAAACTGTTATATGGAAGAAATTATTTGTGTTCTGTAGAATACTATCTGGAATGGAATGGTGGCAACAGGAGCCAGTTTTCACTGCAGCCACAGTTTGCAAATGGGTTTGAATGTCTGGATATTTTCAGTCCGTTTTTGTTTTCTGCTCTTTCTCAGTAGCTTGTTATCATCCCCAACCCAGGAGTTTCATCTTGTTTCATTTCGGATTGTCATATGGCTTTCTAGGGCCCCATCTACACTGACCCATTTAATGCAGTTTCAAACTGGTATTGAAAAAAAAGTGGTTTCACTGTGCAGATGATTACACAGGAAATCATGGACCCACTTTGGGGCCTGCATGATGAGTGCAAAGCCACATAGAACTGAGGCACATTAAGGGTTTTCTTTCACATGTTTTCGTGGGAATTCATTATCTAGCTATTGCAGTTTGAAGCTACCTTCAAACTACATTGAATGGTCAGCATAGATGAAACTTGAGAGAAGTTACAATGCTTATTTACAATATCTCCAAGGAAATCATTTGTTCAAAGGTGGGATTGTGAGAAAGAGGGCAAATTTCCTACTAAGAGGCTTTTGAAAATGCCAGTATTTTCTGATCAGGATCTCTCACCGATTATTTTCCTGTATTTGTTTCATTATAACACAAGCTTGCCTTTGGATAACTATTTGCCTTCTTATTTTATCACTTTATCTTAATTAATATTTTTAGCCTGGAAATCTATAGTGTTTTTATTCTCATTATTTCATATCTGTAGCAAGCATGTGCTTTATCTTTCTAGAGCCTTGGCTTCTGCGTTCCAAGAGTCCTGTGGGAAACCCACAACTTATTCAGTTCAGTAGAGAAGTGATAGATCTCCTTAAAAATCAGCCATCATGTATCATGCCTGTCAGTAAATTCATCCCAACGTATCATCATCATTTTGCAAAACAATGCCGTGTGTCAGATTATGGGTATTCCAAGTTAATGGAGTTACTGGAAGCTGTGCCTCATGTGTTGCAAGTGAGTATTTAGGCCTTTTTCTTCCAAAAAACTAGCTTTAAGCCTTCATTTCACAGGTGAACCAGAATTAAACCAGTGTGATAATAATTGTAAAGCTTTGTGCCTCCCGTATTCTCCAACCTGTTTTGAATATTGTGAAAATCGATGTTATAATTGAATTGATTCAGAAGTCTCTTAGAACAAAAGAGTGAAAGAGAGATGCAAAGAGATGTGATCTTGGTGCTTATGATCATGGGAAAATCATCACATATTGAATTTGGGATTTATTTTTCTCTTAGATTCTTGGAATGGGCACCAAGCGCTTGTTGACGTTAACCCACCGGGCCCAGGTGAAGCGTTTTACTCAAGACTTGCTTAAGCTCCTCAAATCTCAGGCCAGTAAACAAGTTATTGTGAGAGAGTTCTTGCAAGCATATCACTGGTAAGTATAGAAAAAGGTGTTGCAAGTACATAGTTGTAATGTCTAATGTCAAATGTTGGATATTTAAATTAGATGTTTGAAGGCCCCATGGAATCGTTTTTCCTGCAGTAGTGGGAAATGCAACTTTCTTATCTCCAAAGTCAAAACTCTTGAAAGGGCAGCCATTCAAAGGCACCCTGTCTTGCAAGGAAAGTGCCTGATTTTGAAACTTTTAATGCCAGCAGCAGTAAAGATGGGATGCTGTTACTCTGTTGATTGTTCTTTTAAACCAAGGTGCAAATGCTTTAATTTGGTTTACAAATGACATTGCTTGCCACAAATTTTTCCATGAGTCCTACAGATGATCAAAAAATTCTGGAGACCAGAATGGCATTTGCTCCTTGTATTGAGATTTTTTACTTTGAATCTAATCCTTTAAAGAGAGGACACAGTATGCACACCTATAATCAAAGGGAGTCAGAACAAAGAGCTAAACTGCTGTATTCAGATAAGCTTGTGAACTCTTAATTACATAATGTCATATTTTTGCTACAGATTATGAAAGAAATTTTATATTTCAGTAGAAAACAAATTGCCAAGGATACAAAAGCGAAAAATAATTTGGCTCCAAACTACCTCCCTTTTTGAGCTTTATGTATAAATGTGTTTCAGTTTCCCGGAAAATCACACGACATGGGACACTCATAAAGCTGCTTTCCATCACTGCAGAAGGAAGAACATTGATCTTTTTGTGGAGGTGCTAGCTGTGAAGCAGACTTTCCTTTTGTGGTGTTTTGTATGTTTTTTTATTTAGATTAATTTAAACAAACTCTTCAACATCAATAATCTGCTTTTTCAACCCATTTCACCCTCAAACGTCTAGGTGTTTCTCAAAGGACTGGGATGTAACTGAATATGGAGTGTGTGAGCTAGCGGATCTCATATCAGAAATCCCAGACACAACAATCTGTTTGTCTCAGCAAGATAATGAAATGGTCATTTGCATTCCGAAGAGAGGTATGTCCTCATTTTAAAGGGCTCCAAGCTGTTTTATTCTGTAAATCATAGCTGCATACTGATACTTGGCACACTGGTCCCGTGAGCAAGTTTTGTAGTTTTTAGCCATCTAAATAGTCATCTAATTTTGTCTTTCTTTCTCTCTGCAAGTCCTCAGTCTCACATTTCTTCACTTTTCCTAGAACGTACCAAGGAAGAAATTGAAAGAACAAAGCAGTTCTCCAAGGATGTTGTTGATCTCCTTCGGCACCAGCCCTATTTTCGGATGTCTTTCAACAAATTCATCCCATCCTACCACCATCACTTTGGGCGGCAGTGCAAACTTGCCTACTATGGATTCACCAAATTACTTGACCTTTTCGAAGCCATACCAGATGTCTTGCAGGTAGGATGCAGATATTCTGTGGTACAAAGAGAAAGTTGGCGGCCCCAGAGAGTTTCATTCACCTCTTGAGGAAACTTGTTAGAATTCTGAAAAGTCCTTACTTTGACTACAAGTTCTTTGCAGTCTTCATAGTGAGTGGCACTGGACAATTTTAAAATGTCAGCATTTCAAATCGAAATACACAATTAAGCAACTAGATAGCCTCCAGATGGTCTTAACCTGTGATTCTTATTCAGTATTTCATCGCATAATAGTCACCACTAGTGTGTTGTCGAAGGCTTTCATAGCCACATCATGAGGAGACAGGAAAGCTTAGAGAAGACAATTATGCTGGGAAAAAGGAAGAGGGGCCGACCAAGGGCAAGATGGATGGATGGCATCCTTGAAGTGACTGGTTTGACTCTGAAGGAGCTGGGGGAGGTGACGGCCAACAGGGAGCACTGGCATGGGCTGGTCCATGAGGTTGGAAACGACTGAACAAACGAACAACACAACAACAAAGTGTGTTGTCAAAGGCTTTCATGGCCAGAATCACTGGGTTCCTGTGAGTGTTCCGGGCTGTTCCAGAAGCATTATCTCCTGACATCCCACATCTATGACAGGCATCCTCAGAGGTTGAGAGGTCTTTTGGAAACTAGGCAAGTGAGGTTTATCTATCTGTGGAATGTCCAGGGTGGGAGAAAGAACTCTTGTCTGTTGGAGGCAAGTGTGAATGTTGCAGTTGGCCAGCTTGATTAGCATTGAATGGCCTTGCAGCTTCAAAGCCTGGCTGCTTCGTGCCTGGAGATCCTTTGTTGGGAGGTGTTAGCTGGCCCTAATTGATTCTTGTCTGGGATTTCCCTGTTTTTTGTGTTTTTCTTTATTTACTGTCCTGATTTTAGAGTTTTTTTCATACTGGGAGCTAGATTTTGTTCATTTTCATGCTTTCCTTTTTTCTGTTGAAATTTTTCACATGCTTGTGGATTTCAATGTCTTCTCTGTGTAGTCTGACCTGGTGGTTGTTAGAGTGGTCCAGCATTTCTGTGTTCTCAAATAATATGCTCTGTCCAGGTTGGGTCATCAGGTCCTCTGCTACGGCTGACTTCTCTGATTGAATTAGTCTGCAGTGCCTTTCATGTCCCTTGATTTGTGACTTGGCAGTGCTGCTGTGTTTGGTGGTTCCTATGTAGACTTGTCCACAGCTTCATGGTATACAGTGAATTCCTGCAGAGATGAGAGGATCCCTCTTGTCTTTGGATTTTCTTAGTCAGCCTGTAGATTTGTTTGTATTTTGTGTTTCTTCATCAGCTTCCCAATGGGGTCAGTGGTTCTCTTGATGTATGCTAAGAACCCTTTTTCTCTGGGTGGATCTTTGTCTTTACTCTTGTGGCTTGTTCTTGGTCTTGCAGCTCTTCTGATGTCTGTGATGGAGTATCCTTTGGCCTGTAGTCATCACTAGGATATGTGATGAAATAGTTGCACCCACATTTTTGGGGTACCAAAATTGGTATTTTTGTGTTCCTTGCGTAATAGTTGAAGAGCCATTTGGAGCTGATTCCCCTTGCTTACTTGCTTGCTTTCTTGCTTCCTTCCTCCTTTTCTTTCTTCAAAGGCAAAGCAGTTTAAATATTATGAAATTGAGGTCTCTGGAACTCGGGTCTTCCCTCCTTCCTCCAAGGAAATCCATTTCATCAGATTTTGTCAGCTGCTTTTCCTTTGGAGAAAGAAGGAAAGAAGCAGTCCTCCAGAAAAATAGAAGTACTTTTGCACTACGTATGACAAATTTCATGGAAGGGATGTTAAAATGTGCTTCCTCAGCCTTAATCTTTTAACCCTAAAACAGATATTTCTAGTATGACATTTGATACTGCCTTCTCCAGTAACTACATCATCTAACTTCATTAACTACACTGATTTTTCTCTCAGGTACTGGAATGTGGAGAAGAGAAGATCCTGACACTAACTGATGTAGAACAACTCAAAGCTTTAGCTGCTCAGTTTGTTAAATTGCTCCGATCACAAAAAGATAAATGCCTTATGATGACAGATGTGCTCACCGAATATGCTAAAACGTTTGGCTACCCATTGCGTCTCCAAGACTATGATGTTTGCTCTGTTCCAGCTTTAATACAAAAACTTTGTCATGTTATCAGGGTAAGTTTTGGGTATGATACATAGAAAGGACAGAGTGATGGATCTGATGAGGGAAGATGATGTTGAAATCAATCTGTATATCAGATTGGGATGAGACAAATAATGGCATCTTAATGACTGGTCAATGTAAGGTACTAATGTTTTTGTCTGCCCTGAAGGCCAAATGAATATTCAGCCTAGGGCAATAAACAGTGGGCTATCTTTGAACCTCTTGAGAAATCATGTCCTCCAGATTGCTTCTCAATATAATGGGATTGTCATAGAAACCCCCAAATGTGAAAATGGACAAAATAGTAAACTAGGAATTTATTTTAAGGAGCAATACTATGGCCTCGAGGATGCACTATGGCCTCGAGTTCCAGTTCCTTTTGTCAGGCTCTCTCACCCATAATTTTAAAGTACCATATATTCTGGTGTAAAAGACTACTTTTTAACCCAAGAAAATCTTCTCAAAAGTCAAGGGCCGTCTTATACGCGAGAGTAGTCTTATACACGGGAGTCGTCTTATAGAGCGGGTGCTGAAACTTCCAATCGGATTGGAGAATCTGTGGTTGCCGCATATGGTGGGGGAAGCTCAAAAATGGCAATGGCCGTGTCCCTGCCATATGCAACGACTGTATGAAAGCATTAAGGGCGACGCTGTACAAGTACAGTAGAAGAAAATCCATTCATCAGGATTCGTGGACTTAATGCGGTCCCGATGGTGAGCTGAAGGGGCACCTCACCGGGAAGGTGTAAGTGAAAGGCGGAGCAAGCTGCAGGATTCCGGGGTATGGAAAACAGAGATAGAGTGGCTCTGGGCCCAGAAAAACACAACTATTTTACCTGTCTGGCCCTTCCTTGTATCCTATTACCATACCTCCTCTGTCTCTCAGATCTCGCTTCTGAAGACTACAGTGAAGCGGTGCAGGTGCGCAGGTGCGAGATCTGACAGGCAGAGAAGGAGGTACAGTAATAGGAAAATTACCATATTGAAATCAAATCTGATGCTTTTTAAATTTTTATTTGGTGTGTGTTGGAAGAGGGGTAGTCTTCTACGGCGAATATATCCCAAACTCTATATTTTAACTGGAAGAGTTACGGGTCGTCTTATACGCCCAGTCGTCTTATACACCGGAATATACGGTAGTCACCTTTATGTTAGTTTTATGAGGACGGAGTTTAAGAAAGCCCTTCCAGGTTTGTGACAGCCATTTTGTCCACCCCTTTGCCTGAGGAAAGGGAGCCATTTATATCATGGACTACCAGAAAAAAATCTTGGAAGCAAGACATGTCTGCAGTTGGCCCCAGTGAGGTCCAAACTTGGACATGCCATTTCAAGTTAATTTCGAAACCAATAATTAGTTAACCAATAACTAATGAACGCCTTGGGCATTGAGCACCCCAAAGGCCTCTATACAAGAGACAGCAAGCAAGGAAAAGCATCACGTATTCTCCTCAGAAATCTTCCAAGACTGGCAGTTACCCTTTACATTTTTAATATAGATTTTGTTGTGGGGAAATCAAGTTAGTGCCTGGGTAGAGATAAACCCAAGACCAATTGATAAATCGTTACCATTTTGTGAAAGCAATAGCGTGGACATTGATTCTATGGGGTCTCTTGCTCAAACACCCCCAAAGCTGACAGAAAGTTAGGACATGTTAATGCTAAAGAGACATTTAGAGCAGCTTGGGTGCAACAGCACAAGTAGCAACTGCCTCCGTTCAGTGGGAGTGTGTGGCAAAAGGCTCTTCACATTCCTTACCCTTCCACAATGAAGGGGTGTTAGAGAATACTAACAATATATGAACGCCAAGGGTCACCCAACTGAATATGGATTAAGGGAGAAGGATATGCTATACGATATGACCTTTGACTACTGAGTTTGAGCCCTTTATAAGTCTTAGTATCATCAAAGAATTGTACAATCACATGGTTTAGATATCTATCTTCTTTGTGACCTCTGTGAATCACACAGTTGAGTAATCTGTGCAGGCCCAGAGCACTGTTTTGTATACAAAGTTAATACCCCTAAAACTGCAAAGTTGCGAGAGGAGATGATTCTTTGGGTGATTTGGTTCTTAACCTCTCTCTGTGAAATATCCTTATAGGTCATCAGTGTGTTGCTGGTATCTGCCTCGAGTGGCTTTCCCTTTTACATATTGGTCTATTTGAGACTTTTCTCTTGTTAATCACACTCCCTCAGGTTGTTGAAACAGAATCTGGCAAACAACTCCAGCTTATAAATAAAAAATCTCTCCGGACCTTAACGGCTCAACTTCTGGTGCTTCTTATGACCTTGGATGATGCCACGTTTATTTCTGTTGAAGAGCTTAAAAGGCGATATGAAAACACACAAGGTTCCCCCCTTAATCCATGCGAATATGGCTTCATGACGTTTACTGATCTCCTGATGAGTGTGCCTTATTTTATTGAGGTAAGGAAAATGACTTAGTACCCAGAGTCAAACATTATACCAGTCCTTTTGTGTTAGATCCTATTTATTTATTTATTTATTTATTGCTGACTTGGTTTCTATTGTCTTAAAAAGCAAAAGAGCTGCTAGAAACAACAATACAGAGTCTAGGCATACTGTTAAAGCAGGAGAATTGTGAGTAAGAGTTTGGTGGGCTGCTTTCCATCCACAGGAAAGAAAATCCAAAACTCTCTCCCCCCCCCCCCCCCCCCCCCCCCCCCAGTTTCCCAAACACATTTTGTAGTGTTTTTTGGTTCACTCTCTTGGTCACTTTAGGCAAAGAGAAGACATTATAACAAAAATAAGTAAGCATAAATCACTTCTTCACTTTATCTTGCCCAACAGAGAATACGGGAGACTGGTCATTGGTTCTCCAATGTGGTTTTTAGATTAATATTCCTGAATATTCATCAATGCACAAAAGTTGGAAGACTGTTCAGTTACATGTTTTTTCCCACAGGTTTTTATCGATGGGGAGTTCGAATATGTCAAGCTTACAACCCTGTATGTGTTTGCCAAGAAAGTGAGGTCTTTGCTTCATACCTATCACTACCAACAGATCTTTCTTCATGAGTTTTCAACAGCCTATACCAAATTTACAGGCGAAGTATTGCACCCTAAAGCATATGGCTGCAGTAATGTGGAAGAACTCCTTGGAGCGATTCCGCCGGTTTGTCACAGTTTTTTTTCAGTATAATTAAGTTGAATCCTAAAGTTCCCCTAGGGACCCCCTGGTGGTGCAGTGGGTTAAACCACTGAGCTGCTGAACTGCTGACTGAAAGGTTGGCGGTTCAAATCTGGGTGAGCAGGGTGAGCTCCTGCTGTCAGGCCCAGCTTCTGCCAACCTAGCAAAACAAAAACATGCAAATGTGAGTAGATCAATAGGTACCGCTTTGGCGGGAAGGTAAAGGCGCTCCATGCAGTCATGCTGGCCACATGAGCTAGGAGGTGTGCATGGACAACGCCGACTTCGGCTTAGAAATTGAGATGAGCACCACCCCCAGCGTCACATGGCTAGACTTAATGTCAGGGAAAATATTTACTTTTGGAATTCCCGTATGCAGTTTCAAAAGTACTTTTGATTTAAATATGCTGTAGAATTCCATATTTAGTAGTGTTGGAGTCAGTCAGATACTGTCAAGAGAAGGATTTTGCAGGTTTATACTCAAATTCAGTTTGTATGCAAAAAATAGAAATAGAAATCCTCTAATTTAAATCTCTGCTGATATATGCCTAGGGATAAAAGTTGTGAGAATTTTACTCCAATATGCTGTCCTCATTGCTTTTAATTAGGTCGTGTGGATAAAAGGTCATGGTCATAAGAGGATTGTTGTCCTAAAGAATGATATGAAAAGTAAGTAATCAAAGTTTAGAATTCACCCAGGTTTTGGGGGTTTTTTTGGTACTAATATTTTGCACTTATTTATTGTGGAAATATTGACTATACATCTGTCATCTTGCAGCTCGTTTTAGCTCACCTAGTTTTCCTGTTGCTGATGAAATTTCTGAAAACCAGCTTGCTGATGCCAAAAGACAAGCTACAGAGCCAGCAAGGGCAAGCGAATCCTTGGAATTAAAACTGGAATCACAAAATGCTGGTAATGAATTGTTGGCTGATTTAGAGTAGCTGAAAACCAAACAATATGGGGGAAGCCAACTGCTCCTCCTAGTCCTGTGCTTGATTGGAGTAGTGTGTCAAGGTTCAGTAGGGTCAATGTCCTGCTTGCTTTTAATTTGTATGATGAATCATGTTTGAATAGTTTTAAAGGGCCCATGCATGCCTACTTGCTTATATAATCGTATGCAGTTTGAAAATTATAGTAATCTTGCTAAGTTCATAAAACTCATGTATTTTAAAACTCGACCAGTTTTTGGTTAAAGATTTGGAAACTGAATGGTATGCAGGGAGCAGTAATGAGTGGACCATAGAGGAGGAAGAGCAAAATAAAGAAAAGGAAGTTTTTAACTGCTCACATGTTACCAAAGAAAATGTGATAATCTCAGAAGATGCATCTATAATCCTTTGGCCTTGTAGTTGTATGGAATTGCTGCAGTTCCTATTCTCCATTCAGATTTTGGCTAGCTGTGGCCACCATTGGATTTTTTATTCTTGGTTTTGTTGCTCTAGCAGACGTTTCCTTGGATTTACTTCTGCCAACTTCAGCAAGCAAAGGACATCCGTTTTTTTTTAATAAGCCCAAATTGAGTCCCTGCTGTTTATAGGCAGTGCTCCTCTCACTTCTTTTCAAAGAAAAATTCAGGATCATAACCGGTCTGTCTTTTTAGTCATATAATAAGGCTATTCCTGGCCTGTTGGCACAGCGGGTTAAACCACTGAGGTGCTGAACTTGCTGACTGAAAGTTTGGTGGTTCAAGTCCATGGAGCAGGGTGAGCTCCCGCTGTTAGGCTCAGCTTCTGCCAACCTAGCAGTTCAAAAACATGCAAATGTGAGTAGATCAATAGGTAACGCTTCTGTGGGAAAGTAACAGCACTCCATGTAGTTATGCCGGCCAAATGACCTTGGAGATCTCTATGGACAATGCTGGCTCTTTGGCTTAGAAATGGAGATGAGCACCACTCCCCAGAGTTGGGTTTGTCTTTTTTAGTCATATAATAAGGCTATTCCTGGCCTGTTTCAACTTTTGCCTGGAGAATGTTAATACAAGCTGTTAAGACTTTTACGGGTTATTTGACTTCAAATAAGTCCCATATAAAATCTCTACATTGCCATCTTTATATTTCAAAGTCCACACTTGTTCTGGAATCCTTTTGGGAAGGCATATGTTTAAGCAAAAGATTAAGACATTTCTGAGTAACCCCCCCCCCCCCCTCCTGAGTTTTGTATGTTGGGAAACAGCTGACAATTTGCTGTGTTTGGTTTTTCTTCATCCCCTTGGAAGTGCAACCGGGAACCAAGTCATCACATATGTAGATCCTAAACCATGCAATGCTAATTTGCATGTTTGTATCCGTTCTACACATCATCTGAACACTGTAGCCTTAGAGAGAGCATAATTCCTACATTCCTACATCATATTCTTTCGAACACCCTGCCAAAAAGATTTGTTTGATTTGATTTGTTTTTGTTTTTGTTTTGCAGTTTCTAATCAAACCGAACAAGAGCTGCTTTGCCTCAGAAATACATCGCCTGTTGATCTTCTGTGTGAGCCGGTCCCTTCCTGCTTGCCTTCCCCACAGCTGAGACCAGATCCAGTCATTATGGAATCCATGGACCTCATTCTGTTTGAAGAACACCCATCAACCTCTTCTGGTAAATCCGATAAAGATCATGTAGCTCCCAAAGGGTTTGTAATCACAACCTTAGACTAAAAGGTAATAACTAATCAAGGTCACCAAGAAGCTTAATGTACAGGTTTTCCCAGTCCTAGTCCCCCCTCAGGGGTTGAGAAGGGTGGGGTAGAAGTGCGAGAAATAAAATAAATAGTCCCAACGTTCTAACCACTAAAGCAAGCAGAATAACATTACTTCATATGGAGTGTTATTGCTAGCCTTTCAAAACAACCTATCTGGAATATTCAGAGATGTTCAGTTCTTTGGTGCAGATGGCATCCTTTTTTAAATAGAATTTCACTGACTTGTACCAGTTTGTTTATTTTTAACCCGCAGAAATTAAGTGTCCTGATTAACCATATGTGCCAGGCAGGGATGTCATCATGCATGTTTGTTTCTGTTTGCACCTTGAAAGCCGTAATGGCAGAACTCTGGAAAGTTATAGTTTTGGATCATAAATCCCAGAATCCACTGCCCTGCACAATAATCCATGATAGGTTGGAATTCTGATAGTGGCAGTCAAGACAAGTAACTTTTGCAGGCTGTGCCCGAGAATGACCTTTATGGTTAGCTACTGTCTGCCATCCAATTGTCTCTCGTTTCGTCAGGTATGTCTCTTTGACTCAGATTTTGAGAGCCCTGGTCTATAAGGAGGCACACATTTTACCACTCTAGGATATACTCCAATTATATCAGTATGCATCCTGTATTTTTTAGGACTGGCAGAAAGGGACAAACATCATGTGATAGGACTCTGTTTGGAACCACGTTCAAGCAGTCAGAAACAGTAGATCCCAATGTAATCAGGTCCCCAGGTGGCACTCAGGATTCATAGATACACCACATAATGTGGATAGTCTACAGTAGGCTTGTGCATTTTGACTGAACCTCATTTTGTTCTCCATATCTGTTTTTGCACACCTCCCGAAAATGAGCTAGTAGCCAGATAGCCATTTTCAGTCTGCAGCCAAAAAATACGGCTAGATCCGACTCATTGGCGGCAATGGGGAACTTTGCCTTTTTCCCTTCAAGGGAGCCTGGGTTTCAGCAACAGGGTTAAGAAAGCACCCTATCTGGCCCATTTTTTTGGCCGGGGGGAGAGATTCCCAGGCTCCCCTTCTTGTAATTTTAGGCATAGTTTGTCCATATATCCTTCATTAAGATCTAGATTAAAAGCATCAGAGTTAAGATACCACTCTTTCTGCAATCCTTTCTCTTCTGTCTGTAGAGGAGACTAGATTTAAAACTGTTTCTTTCTACTCTAGAGGAGACCGGCACTGCAGGCGTGCACTCTCTCGTCCTTCATGCAGCTTTCCAAGACATTTTAAGGAGGCTTCTCATTTCCCAAGGAAGAAAGAGCAATTGACCTGGAGCAATGCTAGTCTGGGCTTCCTTTAAAAGTCTCCCTCTTTTCTCTTTATTTGGCCTGCAGGCCATGTGTGGAGTGCTGCCTTTCCCCCCCTCATGCCTTTCTGGGAGAGAGTTCCAGAGCTGGGGGGCCACCACTGAGAAGGCCCTCTCTCTTGCCCCCACCAATTGTTCTTGTGACAGTGGCGAGACCGAGAGGAGGGCCTCCTCGGCGGATCTTAGAGCCTATGCCGGTTCATAGAGGAAGATGTGGTAGCGAAAATAGGCAGAACTAAATCTTTCCATGTTCATTTCAGAAACTATAGTTTTAACCGAAGAGAAAGAGAAGGCTGCCAGGGCCTCAGAATCCGAAAACTTGCGCCACGTCCCCATCGTCTCTGGTGTTGCAGAAAATCCTTCAGTATCTGAATCCCAGCCGAGCAAAGAACTCACCGACAGTCCAGCCAGAAGGCAGCATAAAAACCGAGTGAAATTGGCAGCCAATTTTTCACTTGCACCTGTAACCAAACTTTAACTCTTTTTTGTGGTGTGAAAAGCAACATGTGGATAGATTTCACAGCAGAGTAAGCTATCCATGATATTCTTAATCACAGATCTAGAGCCAGAGGGAGAGGCACTTGTGTTCTCTTTGTCATCTTTGTGAGCATTATGTTCAATTTTACACTGATTCCAGCTGGACGGGTATGTTTTATTTGAACTTCAAGAGTTTGTTGAGAATAAATTAACATTTTACCTTTTTTCATTCTCTAAAATGTCATCAAAAAAGGAAATGATAAAAACTTTGGTTTAGAGCATGGATTTATGTTTCTAAAACCGCATCCATGATGTGACCCTATATATAAGTATAGCATATAAATCTGTAGGCTATTTCTGATATGCATTTCAGACAGTAATCCACTGTGCAGTTTGTCTTGCAAAGCAGCGTGTTGGGGGTTATTTTAAATAAATCTGTTTCTAGATTGGAAATAAACTTGCCTTTGGAATTAAATTGGTGAGGGATGTTTTGGATGACTTGTAACTGGGACTTTTCAAACGATGACTGTGGAAAATTGTCAGTTTGTTCCCCCAAAAACCCTTTTAAATGCCTTCGGTAGTAAATTCATTTCCACTAAGGAGTCTTGTAGGAAGTTGATGCTGTTTTAAGCTTCCCGTTTTTTAGTGCTCCAAGTTGATGTTTGGTCTGAATGAAGAAAAACGTCTTTGGTGCCAATGCATTTTGAGGTGAACGTCGAAGTGCTTCCTGCATCTACTGATGAGATTCCTGGGAATCTTCGATATTGCAAAAAAAGTAAATATGCATTTTTAAGTGCATAAATTATGAATCACAGCAGTAGGTTAGAAGGCGCTTTTTAAAGGTGGAAGGTAATAATGTTACTTCCACTTGCACAGAATTGTGAGCAGTGGACGGAAATGCCAAGGTTATGGTGCTTAACCTTGTTTTCTGACTTTTTAAACACATAATAAATGGGAAGCTTATTTTTGAGTTGGTTAGTTTTTAACTGTGTCTAGTTTTTATTCTGGCATTTACTTCGAGTGTTTGTTGCTGCTCTTTTGTGTTTGTGTGTTTTCCGTCCGGTTTCTCTGGTGGCGTTTTTTGTTGGCTTTGAAAAGGGCCAGCCTTTGTTGAAGGAGGCAAGTCAATGAAGTCCATTTTACTTCTTATGGAGCTACAACATCTTCTGGAGCTTTATTACCCCTCTTGGGTAAAACTTGGCATTTACAATGGGTTGTATTTGCCAGGCCAAGGAGACTTATTGCTAGTCGAGAGGAAAGAAACTGCACCAAAGGTTTCAACTTGCCTGAGCAGATAGATATGTTGGGTTTGCTGCTATTTTGCAACCATTGTATTTTGTAATGTACAAGAGATTGAAAAGCAGGTCTAGAGTTCACAGCCATCAACTGAAAAAAAAATGCCACTCGATGGCTATAAGGCAACTTCTGAAAACTGGATTTTGTTTAAAAAATACTTTTAAACAAAACCAGGTATTAACACATGATTGAACTATAGCCATTATGAAACGCAGGGAAACACTGGAAGTCCCCCCCCCCCCTAAAATCATGGTTAAAGCACAGTGTGTTTCACATCCTTCCTTTTCTTCTACAGACATGGGGTTTATAGGAATAAAGTTTTAGAATTTTTAAACATTTCCTAAATTTCTTTCTGAGATCACTTTTCCATTTGCCTTCTGTATTGCCTGTATGAAATAAAGATCTGTTCACCTTGTGTTTGAGCAGAAACAGTCATCATTTTGAGCTGCAATTGCAAGTCATCTAAAATAACCTTCTAGGCTAAGTTTTGGTGAAAACGAGAGAAGTACTCAAAATACAGATGCAGTTCAGCCATCTGTAGAGGATTGGAAATCTGTCTGGATATATGCAATTCTGACCTAGATTGCTGTTTAAAAGTTATAGAATGCTATTTGTTTTTCCACAGTGTGAGACCCATCTTCATTCAGTTTTTTTTTCTTTTTACAAAGGCTTGAAGAAATAATGTGACTTGGCTGATTTTGAATAGTAAATTAAGACGATGAAATTCTTTACTTTACACATTACTAATTTTGATTTCTTGACTATTAAAATATAGACCGTATCACTGAATGAAGCCCTCGACTTGTGCACTCTCCAGATGGGATGGGTTGGGAGGAAATGTTTATATTTCTCCTTTACTGTCTTCTTCATTTGGATATTTCTGTGGTTCAAGTGCTGTTTTGTGTGTTGGGACCAAACAATTGTCAATAAAACTTTGAAGCAAGCGTGTATACACATTTTTTATTTTAATAAGATTTAAGAAGTGGAATATATTCCTTTTAGATTTCAGGTATGGAAGATGGGCTATTTCATTTTTATAGGATGTGGCAGTCTCTGGAATGTCTTCGGGGTTTCAAGGAGTAGCATTAGATCAGGACTGTTAAACTCATTTTCATACAGGACCACATCAGTAATTTTTACATAGTCATCTCTTTAGTGTTTACCCTGTTTGGATCCCTAGATGTTATTGAACGACAAGTCCCCTCGTTTTTGACTATCTGTCCTGCAGACTGGGGATGATGAGAATTGCAACCTAACAACACTTAGAATCAGAGTTGGAAGAGACCTCGTGGGCCATCAGTCCATCTCCCTGCCAAGAATCAGGACAATCACCTTCAAAGCATCCCCAACAGATGGCCATCCAGCCTCTGTTTAAAAGCCTCTGTAGAAGGAGCTTCCACCACACTTCGGGGTAGAGAGTTCCACTGCTGAACAGAAAAAGTTGGAAAGTTCTTCCTAATGTTCAGGTGGAATCGCCTGTAGTTTGAAGCCATTGCTCTGTGTCCTAGTTTGCAGGGCAGCTGAAAACAAGCTTGCTCCCTCCTCCCTATGACTTTCCCTCAGACCCTTGATCATTTTAGTCACCCTCTTCTGGATATATTCCAGTTTGTCAATATCTCTCTTCAGTTGTGGTGCCCAGAATTGGACACAATATTCCAGGTATGGTCTAACCAAGGCAGAATAGAGAGGTAGGATAACTTCCCTGGATCTAGACACTATACTCCTATTTATGCAGGCCAAAATCCCATTAGCTTTTTTAGCTGCAGCATCACATTTTTTCCTATTGGGGCTGAGGAAAGTTGAAGGACATTGCGAAGTGTGATCTGGCAACCGTGGTCCACACTCTTGTTACATCCTGAATAGATTACTGCAGCACACTCTACGTGGGGCTGTCTTTGAAGACTGTTCAGAAACTTCAACTGCAGCCAGATTACTAACTGGAGCAACATACAGGGAACACACCACCCCCTTCTTGTGTCAGCTCCACTGGCTGCCGATCCACTTCTGAACTCAATTCAAAGTGCTGTAAGCCGTCCTGAGTCCCCCTTCGGGGGATGAGAAGGAAGGGGTAGAAATGCTGGAAATAAATACATAAATTTTAACTTCAGGCATCATCTTTGCAAGCCTTGTGTAAAAGAGATACCCCAATAGATGTTAGGAATATCCCCACTTTGTGTCACTCAAATTATAGAGGGTTTGTTCTTAAAGTTTATTACATGCTGCCACTAAATATAGAACTCTTCCACAAGCTACCTTGTGTGTGTAGTTTGTATGAGGCACGCAGAGGCTTTTGTTTGGTATGAACAAAGGTGTTTGTTTATTTACTTAGAACAGGCATAGAAGTTTAATGGTTGCAGTATATTTGTACAAAGCATTATGATTTCAGAAGTTGTTCAGTGCTTGAATTACAGGTTCCAGTCAAAGACCTTCAAAAACTTAGGAAACTTTTAGTATTCCACTAAACAGTTCCTTCCTTACACACACAGCCCAATCACCAGGGTCTGTTTTAAAACATAATAGACCTTCCTTGAAGTCACTAGTCAAGAATATAACACGAGCGAAACTTCCTCCTTCCTTCCCAAAACCCAAAATCCTAACTGCTATTTCCAAACTCCCATTGACAATTCCAAACTCCAACTGTTTTTGTTTTCAAAACTCCAACAGACATTCGAATGGCTCCTTTTTTTTCTTTGCCTTGTCTTTGCTCCGCCCACTTTTTCTCCAGGGATATTAACCAATCAGGTGGCTACATATATCCTCAAGGCTGCCTGCTGGCTCCGCCCCCTCTTGGCTCTGAGTTAAGAAAATGGCTGCTTGGCTTTTGGCCTTTAAGGAACCAAACACCAGCCCTGCACAGTAGGCCAGTACGTTACACTTTGTATCTCAATCCAAACCCCATTCTCCTGACTCAACAGAAGAAAATGCAGCCTTCCAGATGTGACTATCCCAACTCCCATCTGCTCTCGTCATGATGATGTCTAATGAGGAAGACAGGAGTTGTGGTCCAGCTTCTGGAGGAGGGATCAAAGGACATAGAGGGCTGGATTGGGCCCATAGGCCTTGAATTTGACCCATCCATTAGATAGAACCTAGGTCACAGGGGCTCACTCACAGCCATGTTGAACTTCCATGGTCAGCATGCATACTCAAAGGAGGTTGGAGTGTTGCAGTTTGGTGGAAGGTCATTAAAATAACAAAAATGGTGTTTTGGGAGATGCCCATAGGGAAATTATTCCTGGAATCAGTGGTGGCAGATGTCACGCTATCCTCCATAAAGCTCATGGATTTGCCTTACTGGAGGGTCCTCCACTATGCTGTAGCAGTATATAAATTACCTAATGATTTGAATCCATTGGATCAGCAGAAATCAGTTTGGCTCCATCTTCTACATGGTGTTGCTTAACATGTCTAAAGATGGGTTGTTGTAGGTTTTTTCGGGCTATATGGCCATATTCTAGAGGCATTCTCTCCTGACGTTTCGCCTGCATCTACAACAACTCAGGAGAGAATGCCTCTAGAACATGGCCATATCGCCTGAAAAAATGTACAACAACCCAGTGATTCTGGCCATGAAAGCCTTCAACAATTCATGTCTAAAGATGGCTATCACATTACTTCTCTAAACTCAATATGCCCAGCTCCTGAACTCATTCTTGATAATCTTGGTCAGCTTTATCTGGGTATGTTCTAGGTTTTCTCAATATTCTTCTGCCCAAAACAGAAGCAAAATAGAGTGGTTCCGCTAATAAGACCCATAAATCCTTTTTGCATTTACTGCTTGGAAGCCAGAGGTGACCTCCATCTTATATTGGTGGATTTTTTTTCACTTTTCTTTGCCAAAACTTTACTTTTATGCCCCTTGAAATTCCTTTTCTTTGTTTTGACCAGCTCTCCAATCTGTTCAGATCCTTTTAAATTCTGATCCTGTCCACTAGAATGGTTCACAACCCCCTTCCCGTTTGGTATAATCTGCATATTTAACAAGCGTGTTTTCTGTTCCATCATCTAAATCATTTCTAAAAACCTTGGACTACAGTAGGTCCAGGACAGAGCCGTGAGGACCCTGCCATTAGTTGAGTAGTGTCTGGTTCAATCTGTCAATCCATCACAGATCTAACCATCTGTATTACTGCCTACATAGTTCTTACTGCAAGAACTATGCTAAGTTCTTGCAGTAAGAACTATGGGATCAAGAACAGCTGTGCGGTGGGTGCAAAACGAGTAAGATTGGGTTTGGTATGACTTCTCTTTGAGAAACCCACATTCCCTCACAGTCATATCATTTCTTTCTCAGTATGCCTCTATAACACATATCCATGTCAGGCGGACAGCTCAGTAATAGCTCAGGGCCATCCTTTTTGGCCCATTTTTGAAGATTGAGGCAACACTGACCTCTCATCTGCAGGTACCTCTCGCAAGAATTCTCAAAGATTACCCTAGACAACACACATTTTGGTGCCTCAAATGTTAGCCCTGTTTCTGGGTATATCTGACCTTCTGATTCCAAAAACGGCACCAGTATCAGCCTATCAGCTGTAGGTTTTGAGATGGAACATAATGCCATCTACCAGTCTTCGCCTGCTCACGTGTAGAAACCATGATATCCATATCTAAGAAACTAGAGCAGATGCAGTTTCTCCAATGCAATTTTCTGAATGGGTGCCCAAAAACAGGTCAAAAAATGAAGCTGAAGCTATGTTCTTGAAGTTCAAGGTAGTAGCAAAAGAGTTACATTACAGGTAGATTGACTCAATCATGGACTCTGTCGCCCTGCATTGGCAAGACCTTGGTAGGACCATTGATAACAGGCACATTGTGAAATTACCCCTATTGATATGTTTGCCATAAGCCAAAGCCAGCTTGATAGCCCTCTAACAGCGCCACAGTGTTTACCATTATCAAATTTATTTGCAGCAACTGCACATTCAAGCTATTAATTTTCATCTGATGGCTGGAAAAAGCTGATAGCATTATGTAACAAAATTTGAAAAAAAATCCTGATTGGAAAGTATTATTTCCTCTTCCATTGTGCTGCCCTTATTTTGAAAGTTGTTCTACTCCATAAACTTTGTTTTTGTGGCTGCCACAAAATTTGCTGAATTAGTTCAGACTCGATGATGAGATATTCATTGAAAAAGTATCGCAAAATGTGCTATAGTAAGATGATGTCCTCCCGCAAAGACGTTTTTGCAGGTTAATAAACTTCCCCCATGTTTCTATGATAGAACCAATTAGAGAATGACACTTAAAACTCAAGAACAAAAATCGTATTATATAGTGTATTGAAACTGAACATTCGGGGCTAAAATTAGTTCCAGGCTTTGTTTTAACAATTCTTATTAGTCAAATGGCATTGAGATCCTGCTGCCAGCAGCTGGTTGGAGTCTGATCTGCTGCTACTCATTTTTATGCTCATATATACCTCTGCAGGCCCCCCTAAACTGCTGAGCTGCTGAACTTGCTGACCAAAGGTTGGCGGTTTGAATCCAGGGAATGGGGTGAGCTCCCGCTGTTAGGCCCAGCTTCTGCCAACCTAGCAGTTTGAAAGCATGCAAATGTCAGTAGATCAATAAGTACCGCTTCTGTGGGAAGGTAATGATGCTGCATGCAGTCATGCTGGCCACATGATCTTGGAGGTATCTATGGACAACGCCAGCTCTTCAGCTTAGAAATGGAGATGAGCACCAACCCCCAGAGTTGGGCATGACTAGATTTAATGTTAAGGGAAATCTTCACTATACCTCTGGAGTTATATGCTGTCCTTTTTAATGAAATGAGTTGCAACGGGAGGTTTTTTGGGAGCGGGGGTTGTCTTTGTTATGAAACAGGCTTTTTATCTTAACTCGCTGCACTCCATTAGACAACTCCATAATGCATTGTAATTGTTAGCATTTCTTAAGACACCCAGTATACATAGGACAAACAAACACATCAAGTGAGGCTATGTTTTAACTATATTTTGAAAAGTTGTGTCTTTTTTATTGCAGTGTAGAATGATTAACAGTGACATTGGCTAAACAGTAAATATTTGGAAAGAAACAGTGGACTAATTTAATCTTGTGTATCTTTTTAAAAACCACAAAAAAGATCAATCCTCTGCCAATTATTTTCCATTTATGCAGCACAAACAGAGCCTTAAAAAGTAGTCATGCTAATTAGAGGTTTCTGGGAATTGCAAAGTAACCCATCCAAGCTCTACTTTCAGTTCCAAGGTCTGCGCATTCAAGAGTTTTCTCAAGAGACACAATTTTCAGAGAGTAGAGAAACCCCTATGGAAATGAGGGCCATGAAACTTTTAACAGAAAACAATTAACTGACCACAAAAACCCTCCACTTACATGATTTTAAGGAACCCAAATTGACTGGAGCTTGTTTTTGTGTTTCCTGTTCCAGAGATATCCTGCAGATCACAGCAAATCACAATAGTCAGACACATGATTGATCGGCAGCTTCCAATAAACTATTAGTTCCATGATTCTAATTTACAATATTTACTAATGCATCTGTAATTGCAAGAAGTAGCTGCCATGCCACATTTTTCTGCCCACAGACAGAATGCTGCCTGTGAAAAGGGAAAGTGTGAGATGCATCCTCTAGACATAAAACTATTAAATTGTTATTCAACATATTACATGGGATTATCTTTCTAGTCCTCCCCTCCACAAGCATATTTTATAGAATAATAAAAACTGACACCTATCTGTTACTTGTGAGCCATCTCTCAGATATGTATAATTGTTTTTACAAGTCCTCGCTGTTCTCTGGATATAGTTATATTGAGATATATTCCTTGTCTTAACCTAGGCATGCTCGCTGAGTGATCCATGCAACAGTGAAGGACTCACCAAGTGGGACATTCAGCACTACAACAGTTACTGTAAGGAACAGTACAGGAAACTTAACTATCAAGATTTTGGGATGCGTTACTTCCTTTTCCACTTCTTCTACAGTTTTTTTTTCTCCCATCCAGTTTGAAAAGAAGGCATGCCTGAGAGGATGGTTCAAGCTACATGATGGTGCATTGGACGGTCCCACAGCAATCCCGAATAATAGCAATGCCCGTTTTGGCAATGGTGGGCTTGTTGGGAGGAAGAGGTGGCGGCTCTGCCTTCTTCTCTGTGGGTGTACCTGTGATATAGCCAAAAGAAAAATACTGCCATTAGTATCAAGCTTAGAGTTTAACACTGGATTTAGCATTTAAAACTGCTGAACTACATGTGGCCTAAAGCCTACGAGTTTGTACCCAACATTCCAATTTACTGCTGCTGATACTACATATACATTGAGTCCCCTTCGGGGTAAGAAGGGCAGGGTATTAATGTCATAAATACATACACACAGGGAGCCCTTATGGGCATAGTAAGATAAAGGTAAAGGTTTCCCCTTGACATTAAGTCAAATCGAGTCCAGCTCTGGGGGGTGGTGCTCATTTCCATTTCTAAGCCGAAGAGCCAGCGCTGTACATAGATGCCTCCAAGGTCATGTGGCTGGTATGACCGCATGGAGCGCCATTACCTTTCCGCCAAAGCGCTACCTATTGATCTACTCACATTTACATGTTTTTGAACTGCTAGGTTGACAGAAGCTGGGGCTGACAGCAGGAGCTCACCCCCCTCCCCGAATTTAAACCACCGACCTTTCAGTCAGCAAGTTCAGCAGCTCAGTGGTTTAACCCGCTGTACCACCGGGAGCATAAAACAACAAAATCACAACACAGGCATAGACAATAAGAGGAAGTCACAGATAAAAAAGGAAACCATAATTAAAAGTTACTAATCTCAAGGGTAAAATTTGCAACAGTTTCATGAAAATTGTTCAGAAGAATTGTTCAGAAGATAGGGAATTTCATAGCACACCGTTCCCATTGAGAACACTGTGAAAAAAATGAATTCCTGTATTTTATCCGTATATTAACATATTTAGGACATACAAACAAAGAATAATGAAATGTTTCAACAGAGACCAAGTCACAAGAACAAACCCTTTTGGAAACTTCCACGTTTGTATAACTCCCATTCAGAAGAGCTGATGGCAAGATATTATTATATCTTGCAGTTGTCACAGCTCTCCTCTGGGTGAGATTAATCGAAATGTGGAGATAAGCTGCCATAAATGACTCTTCGCTCGCACGGATTCAATGACATGGTAGGGGAACATGCTGTCTTTGCTGCAGGAGTCAGATTATGAAAGTCAAGATCCAAAGGCCTGCTCTTGACTGACTTGCAGCCTTCCATATTTGTGAGCATTAAGAGTGCTTCCAAAGACAGGGCAATGGCTTCAATCTTTCTGAGAATACTCAAAGAACTCTGATCTGAAATAAAATGATCTGATAACAGAGGATATATATCTATTGCAGTCTGCTTGAAAATGTGTGTTTAACTACTGCTGATACAAAACATCAACAAATTTGACAAAAGGGGGGAGGGCTTTCCTTCTACTCCAAAAAGGAAGGTGCTCCTGTTTAGTTCACATCCTTCAAGACACAAAGTTGTTAAGAGTTACCACTGAAGTTCAATGAAGTTCAGCTGCCTTTACTGAAATTGTTTTGGTTCAAGGGGTAGATGGGTTCAAGTGGTGGGCTAGGGATGTTAGTAGGAAACCACTTTCAGCTGAGGGCAAAGTGAAACTTGAGTAAATTCCTCTGGAAGAACAGATTCCAGTGGATGATGAGATAAAAAAAATCTTAGCATAAAGCTCTTTCCTGCCAGTCATTGGGCAAGAAGTAGAAGAGCTCAACAAAGAGAAGGAAAAAACACTTAAGGAGGCAGCTGGAGAGGATGGTCCATGGTCTTCAATGTCTCTACACTTTGGGGGGAGAAGGGTGGGGTAGAAATGCATGAAATAAATAAATACAATAGTGCACAAAACAAGGGATATATTATGTATTTATTTGCTTCATTTATACCCTGCCTTTCTCACTCAAGGGGACTCAAGGCGGCTTGCAACTTCGGCAAAATTCAAAATAAACAAGATGAACTTAACCTCTTAAAATAGCAAAGCAAATATGACATAATTGGCATCACAGAAACCTTGTGGGACAGGTCTCGTGATTGGAATGTAGTTTTAAAAAGGAGTATAATCTATTTCTGAAAAACAGACCAACAGTGAAAGAGAAAGGATAGCATTGTATATCACTGATGTTTACGCCTGTGAGGGGATCCATAACACTATATGACAAAATCTGTTCCTGGTTTGAAAGTGTTGTTCATTTTAAATTGTGCAGTCCTTACTTTGAAAGTAGTTATTTTACCCCAGAAACTTCATTGTTTTTGTGGCTACCACAAACTAAGTTGAACTGGTTGAGACTCAATGAGACATTCATTGAAAAACGATAGCAAAATGTGCAGCTGGATGTGCCTCCCACAATAATGAAATTTTTGCAGTTTAATAAACCTTGTCGATGCTTTTATGATAGAACCAATTAGGAAAAAAATTGTGTTCCATAGTGTAGCATAAATCCTGGAAGCCAGGTTGAGAGTGTTTGGGTAAAAATTAAGGGGGAAAGAGCGAAAAAAGGGCACCCATTAGATTAGTGGTCACTAACACATGGGAACCCAGAAGTGTTTTCTGTGGGCAGTGCTGAGCTATGAGTAAGGTCCAGGTTTATGCAAAGTTAACATTACTCTGAATTATATTATACAGAAAAATTATATTATACAGAAAAATCTGTTTCCAATGTGTTTTCATTCACCCAATTAAAAAGCTTGTTTTAATATATTGGGTTTGCAGTCCCTTTGCCCCTATAAAATAGGGTTGCGACTTGGAAAAAAGTTGGGAACCGCTATATTAGATGGATTTAGAACTGAAAGAGAAGTAAGTTGCAGATGCATCAGACAAGCCAGACTGCTATTAATGTAAAGCGAAAACAGTAGCATCCAGGATCAGGACAGCAAGAAAACTTATGGAGCCTTGGCTCGGCTAATATATCTTTTGGCGAAATCCGAAAACCCACCTGTTGGAGCCGTTACGATGTTATCTAGGGGTTTCAACTTGATCCGAAGGAACTCGGCCATCTCCTTGTCTTCTTCCTTCTCCCTGATTTTTGAGGGAAAATAACAATGAACTATTAAGGAAATATACAAGTAAGGCTGATACGTGTGTGTTGTAAATAATGCAATTGCAAGATATTGAATGGCTGGAAGAAGATATAGGACTAATAAAAGGAAGCTATCCTTGAGACATTCTGGGAGCATGTAGAATTCAAGCTGCACTCCTGTCTAAAGTGTGAAGGGAGCAATGGGAAGAAACAGAGAAGGGACAATGCCAGCCCATGACTTGCCCCTCAATGGCCAAGGTCCTTTTTACGAATTATTATTCTTTTACTAGAAGATTTGCACATTAATAATAATAATAATGCTTTGTTTCTATCCCGCCTTATCTATCTCCCCGAGGGCAGTTTACAACAGATATTTACAAACATTCAATGCCGTGCGAAGCTGAAAAAAGACAAAAATAACCAACCCCCAAATCTCAAAAACAAATCCACATTGACATCAAAATTAATAACACATTATACTGCAATATTACTAATAATATTATATTAATATATAATATAAAATTATATTATTATATTGTACTATATTATTATACCACAATATATATAATAAATTCTATTATATATATAATACTAGCTGTGCCCTGCCATGCGTTGCTGTGGCCTGTAGTAAGAATTTTCGAAGTAGAGGTAGATATCTGGACTGTTATGAAAGAGAGGTACCAACCTATTCCTTCCCCCCTTTTTCTTTCCCTTCCCCTTTTTCTCCTTTCTTCCTTCTCTACCTGTTTCTTTCATTCCTTCTTTCACTCTTTGGTTTCATCCTTCCTTCTCTCTTTCCTTCCTTCCCTCCCCCTTTCTCTACTTCTTCCTTTGTCTCATTTCTTCCTTCCCTGTTTCCTTGCTTCTTTCACTTTTTATTTCCTTTTCTCCTTCCTTCTTTACCTCTTTCCTGCCTTTCCTTTCATTTCTACTTATCTTCTTCCTTCCTTCCTTTCTTCGGTACCTTTCTTTCCTTCCTTCTCTCCTTCCTGCCTTCCCTCCTTCCTTCTTTCCTGTCTGTTCTCCCCCAATAACACGGTAGAGTCCCTTCTAACTCTATTCTATAAGTCTATTTAATATAGTAATATATAGTAGTAACATATTATATAGTAATACATATAACAATCTATACATTTTTTCTTCGTGTATTCCGTGAAATGCGCACCTATGGGTTTTCCCCTGCGCCTGCGCAGCAATCCGGATATTCTAAAGATTTAATGAATTTTTAAATGATTATTTTAAATGATTATTTACGGACGCGGAAGCCCCGCCCCCGTCCTCGCCCCCTTGGACGCCATCTGCTGCGGCATGCGGCTCCCAGCCAGTTCCTTTTTCCGCGCCAAACAGGCAGCATCTCCGGACTTCACTCCTCGATTACTAAGATCTTCCTGACCATTGGACTGTTTTTCTCGGCTACCTACCTTCTCCTCTCCTGAACACAGACCGGCTCGACCACTCTCTCTCCTAAACAGGCTAGATGTCTTCCCTTTACTTTAAAAATTGCTCGGACTGCGGAGTTAACCTCCCTGAGGCCGATAGGCATACCAAATGCCTCCTCTGTCTTGGAGAAACCCACAATCTCCAGACATGTGAAATTTGCTTGAGCTTCACAACCAGGGCTCGCAAAACCAGAGACGCCCGATTAAAAGCTTTATTGTATGAGCGGGCCCTAGCGCCCCAGATGCTCCCCGCACCCTCCAAATCCTCCCCAATTCAAGAACCTGCTCAGCCTTCCTCCCCACGCGTTGGGGATAGGCGTGATTCTACTCAGGCGAATGCTTCCCTTGAGGAGCAGCCGGGGAAAAAATCAAAGCCTTCTAAACAGGCCACGAAGCCTGCAAAAACGAAAGAGAAACTAAACAAGCAGAAAAAGGGACAGCAACTCACTGGTGTTCAGCCCTTGAGTCCCCCTATACTTGAAACGGTGCCTCACCTTCCCGGTTCCACCCTGCAGTTGCAGGAACCGCTCCCAAACATTTTGGAAATGGACGACCCCTCCCACCTCCCTCCTCTCGAGCTCCTAGCTCCCCACCTGGAACTGGATCAGCCACCCGATCTCTCTCTCTCTCCCCCTCCCTTGCCCCCCTCTCAAACCTCTCCTCCTTCTCCAGGCTTTCCTCAACCCCCGGTACCAGGGGAAACTCCTTCCCCTATACAGCCAAGCACCTCGGCGCAACTCCCCAGACGCCGCCAGCGCTCCCCATCCCCTCCTCCAAACCGGCCCTCAACCCCCTCTCACCCTCCCCCCAAGAAGGTGCGATCTCTTCCTCCAGAACACTATCAAAGCCATGGGTACCAGGAGTACCCTTACCACCTTTATCCCCCCCTCCACCTCCTTTTCCATACCCCTTCTACTACCCTCCTCCCCCTGACCATTTTAGGGGGCCTCATGCCTATCAATACCTTGACCCTAGGTATCCACAACCTCCTCGTGTACCACCCATGGCTACACTCTCTCAGCCACCAGATCCTCATCCTGATGTGGATCCCCAACCACTCTCTCATGACCCTCACATGCCTCTCCAACCAGAGACAGACACCATTGATTTGGAGTTCACTGAAGATACTCCTATTATTCAGGACCTGGTACCAGATTCTGACCCATCACCTCAACATTTGGAGGATTTTAAAAAATTCTCAGCCCTTATGACCAGGTTGGCAAGGGCCCTGAACCTTACCACTCCGGAGCCTTCGGATACAGTCACAGATCCATGTTTTACTTCTACTGAACAACAGGCACCTGCATCCACTGTGTTGCCCACGCTGCCTTATCTCTTGAAAATCCTTAAAAATACAGGGGTTGCTCCATCCCTGGTTCCAGCAACCCCTAAAAGGGCAGAAGATTTGTACCATATTGACTTATCTTCAGCCTCATGGCTGTCCAAAATGCCCAAAGCAAACTCTGTAGTGACTGATGCTCAACCAAAACCAATCCAAATTAACCAGTCATCTCCCTCTGATAAAGAAGGGAGGAAATTGGACTCTATGGCTAAAAATGTTTATTCCTCAGCATGCCTCTTTGCCCGCATGGCACACTATGGGGTCTATATGAGTGTCTATCAGACCCTACTTTGGAATAAAATATCCCCATATCTGGACCTATTACCACCAGCTGACCAACCGCTGGCAAAGGCTTTTTCTCAAGAAGTCCTGTTGTTGGCCAAACTACAAAAAGACCTAGCAAAAAATACAGCTGACACCTCAGGCAAACTCATTGCGGGCTCGGTTGCTCTCAGACGCCATGCCTGGCTGAGAGCTGCAATTCTTTCTCAATCACAACGTGCCCTCATTGAAAACCTCCCTATGGATGAGGCGGGCCTTTTTAACCCTGAGACTGATTCACAACTTGAGCACTCCCACAAGATGAAACAAACTGTCCGCAAGATGAAACAAACTGTCTACAAGTACGATCAACAGCCTTACACCTACCAACGCCAAAGATGGGGCTCCTACTACTACCGGCCCCAATTCTATAACAGGCCTTACAACACCTCCTTTTACAGGGGCAGACAAAGACCATACGCCCCAGCTACAGCCGCAAGACGTCCGTCTCTCCCCTCCAGAGGTCAGTACCGTGGTACCAGACCTTCCAATAACAATAAACGCTGTTTTTGACATACCTTTACTTGTCACCACATCCCCCACCCTCCCACTTACATACTTAAACAGGCTTCATCAATTCCTTCCACAGTGGCAATCCATAACTACAGACACCTGGGTCCTCAACATAGTAAACAGGGGTTATGCAATAGAATTTGATACCTACCCACAGGTTGGCACTATTCTCCTCACTCAACCCTCCCAAGCCATTTGGGAGGAAATAAACTCTCTCCTTCATAAAGGAGCCATCTCTGTCACCCCTTCTTATACATCCAGCACCTGCTTCTACTCTCGATACTTCTTGGTAGATAAAAGAGATGGTGGCCTCCGGCCCATCCTAGATCTCTGTAGGCTCAACACCTTCATTACACCACGCAAATTCCGCATGGTCACTCTACCTAACATTTTTCCTTTCATTCCTGAAAACTCATGGTTAACGACGGTGGACCTACAAGACGCATACTTCCATATCTCAATCAGACCATCACACCGCAGGTTTCTGACCTTTGCGGTTCAAGACAAACACTTCTCCTTCAACTCACTCCCGTTCGGTTTATCCACTGCACCCAGAGTATTCACAAAGTGCATGGCCGTCATAGCCGCACATCTCTGTCAACAAGGCGTTACGGTTTTTCCGTACCTGGATGACTGGTTATTTTGCTCTTCTTCAAGGCCTCAATTGTGTAAAGATATTCATTACACCTTATCTCTTTCACAGGTCCTCAGACTGGTTATAAACCAGGACAAATCCCATCTCCAACCGACACAACACATCCAATTCATCGGAGCTATCTTAGACACCACACTCCAGAGGGCATTCCTCCCGGAAGACCGGTTCCTCAACCTCCAACAAACTATTACTACCCTGCAACATTCCCAGCAGGCCTCTGCTTGGGCTATCCAGTCCCTCCTGGGTCACATGTCCTCTACCACAAATGTGACCCCATTCGCCCGCCTCCGGATGCGGCCCCTACAAAACTGGTTCATCAGAACCTTCGACCCTCTCCGCGACTCACAGTCTCGGGTTCTTTACCCACCTCACTCTGTCCTCCACTCCCTCACATAGTGGACAAAAGCACACAATGTTCGCTTGGGGATGCCATTCAACCAACCCCGCCCCTCCGCGTCCCTCACAACGGACGCCTCCAACTCGGGTTGGGGAGCCCACCTCAAGGGATTCCAGGTCAGCGGTCACTGGTCTCAGCAAGACCAGAAATTCCACATCAATGCCCTCGAAATGATGGCGGTGGAGAAAGCTCTTCGGGCCTTCGTCCGAATCATATCCAACCGCATGGTCCAGATAGTGACAGACAACACCGCTGTCAAATACTACATAAACAAACAGGGAGGAATGAGGTCACAAACACTTCTCTCAATCGTCACACGCATCTGGGAATGGTGCATTCAACACAATGTCCTTCTCACAGCCATCCACCTCCCGGGGCAGGACAACATTTTAGCAGACTCTCTGAGCAGGACAACAAAAAACAATCACGAGTGGCATCTCCACCCGACACAATTCAAACTCACTACAAATTGGATATACAAGCCAAGAAGGACGCCGCTTTCGGCAGGGCAGTTCTTTTTTCCTGTGTGGCATGACCCACCTCCAGGTCAGTAGCTTGCTATCTCACCCATAGGTGCGCATTTCACGGAATACACGAAGAAAAAATAAAGGTTGCTTACCTGTAACCGTATTTCTTCGAGTGTTATTCCGTGAAATTCGCACGACCGCCCTTCCTCCCCTCTGTCATGCCTTACCCGGCTGCTGTTTAGCGCTGGGGAACTGGCTGGGAGCCGCACGCCGCGGCGGATGGTGTCCAAGGGGGCGGGGACGGGGGTGGGGCTTCCACGTCCGTAAATAATCATTTAAAATAATCATTTAAAAATTCATTAAATCTTTAGAATATCCGGATTGCTGCGCAGGCGCAGGGGAAAACCCATAGGTGCGAATTTCACGGAATAACACTCAAAGAAATACGGTTACAGGTAAGCAACCTTTATATATAATTGTTCCTGTCATCGTGAGTGGCTTAAAAACAAAAGAAATTATATATATATATGTGTGTGCGTGTGTGTGTGTGTGTGTGTGTGTATTATATATATATATATATATATATATATATATATATATCACTAACCAGTGATCCAACATCCATCCATATCTATGTGTATGTGGTGTGTGAGTGTGTCTACACTGTCATATAATCCAGTCCTAAATAGATAATCTGGATGTGACATGGCAGTGTGGAAGCGAGGACTTTGGGTGCATCTACACTCTAGTTTTAATAAAGGAGGATGAAGCTGGTGGGGGGAAGGGGAGAGAAAAAGGAAGGAAAGAAAGGGAGGAAGGGAAAGGTGGGAAGGAAAGAAAGGGTGGGAGGAATAATGGAGAAAAAGAAAGGGAAGAAGGAGGGAGAGGAAGGAGGAAAGGCAGAGAGGGAAAGAATTAAAGGAAGGAGAAGGAAGTAGAGAAAGGAAGGGAGGGAAGGAGGGAGGGAAGGAAGGAGGAGTTGGGGTGGATGAGAGAATGAGGAGGGGGAAGAGAAATTGTTCATCCGGATAGCACTGGGAAAGAAAGCTGGATCGGGACCAAACTTGGGATGAATACTCAACATGGCCAAATGTGAATTCTGGTGGAAATTGGGGGAAATTGACCTTGGGGCTGCTTGGATGTCCAGCTCAGCTGCAATTAATGAGGAGACGGAACTGGGCTCTCCCCTTCCTTCCTTCCTTCCTTCCTTCCTTCCTTCCTTCCTTCCTTCCTTCCTTCCTTCCTTCCTCGGCACACTCTGCTTCATTAGGGGTGGGGCTTACTGGAACCCCATGATGGCGGCACCCAAGGGGAGAGCTAAAGAGGGAGGAAGAAGGAAAGGAGGAATGATAGAAGGGAAGGAGAGAAGGGAGGGAGGCAAAGAAAGAGGAAAGAGAGAAGGAAAGAGGGGAAGGATGAGGGAGGAGAGGAGGAAGGGAAGGCATGAAGGAAGGAAGTGGGGGAAGAGAGAAGGGAGGGAGATAAGGATAAGGGAGAGAGCAAGAAGGAATGGAAGGAAGGAAGGGGGTGAAAGAGGAAAGGGAAAGAGTGTGGTCTACAATTTGCATGGCAGAGCATTCAAATGGAAGTTCCTTTCCTTGGCCTTGCCTTCCTTCCTGCTGCTAAATCGGACCTCCTCCTCCTCTTCTTTCTTCTCCGGCATACTGATTTCCAATCCCTATTCCAGAGGCAGGAGGGAGAAGGTGCCTTGGTCAGGCTGGTGAATGCCTTCCCACTGCAGAACCTCCAGCTGCCTTGGTCAGGCTGGTGAATGCCTTACCACTGCAGAACCTCAAGGAGCCGAGGCTGACTCCAGGCCGTTGCCAGCAAAGGCTCCGCCACGTGGAGCGCACGCACTCCCCCTGCCTGTACGCATGCCTAGTGGCATCGTCTCCTTTTTTAGGATTTGTAAGTTCTTTCTTTTGTTTTTTATTATTGATGGTCACACCTTGTATGGTGAGGAGTTTTGTTGCCAAATTTGGTGGGTATTGGCCCAGTAGTTCTTCTGTTTTTAAGTCACTCACAACGACAGGAACAATTATATATATATAGATAATATAGTATATTGTACTATATTACTATATCACAATATATATATATATAGTGCATTATACTATTTGTATTATAGAACATATTGTACCATATCATAAGTTGTAGAATATACAATATATTATATTACAAAATTATTAATATTACATACAACATGCCAGCACTATTACATTACAATGGTATTATTTCTATATATTATTATATTGGATAGATTATATATTCAGACACACACATACAATATGATAACAATAAGAATATGATGAAAATAATAACAATAAATAGTAATATAATAATATATTGACAAATTCCAAGATCTGAATCATTCCCACAAGAGTCTGTTGTTCTGTGGCTTTGTGACTAGACAACGTTGCGGTTGAGTTGTAAATTGCTCCTGTAATTTTTCTGAGTACACAAGCACTGTACTTCCAAACATGAAATATATATAAAATAATAAAGATGTACAGTATTTTGCAATCCTAAGCCTTTTTGTCATTAACGTATTCTGCAAGCGGGTGGGATATTTATTGATGCCAAACCTTGATTTGGAGTGCAATGGCTAGCAGAAATCGAAATGTTTGCAAAAAAGAAAAGAATTTGGAAGTCTTGAAAATAATAAGGAAATATTTATGCAACAAAGGAAATGCATATGAGTGCCAGGAATAAGCTATGCAAATGGCCTGCAGCTTGGGAAGGGGAATTGAAGCGAGAGAAAGTGATGTTCACAATAATACACATTCTTCCAAATTCACTGCAGTAGTGTTTTTGAATTATCGTATGATTGCCAACACCAGAAGAAAGCACTTTCTTCAGGCTATTAAGAGGAGTTCCTTATGCATAGAAAGGAAGAGACTAACAATCATTAGAGAACTGGTTTGAAATGTGTGAGAGATGACATTTTTTTCATCAGGCATGTTTCCAAAAGCAGCTGCGGACATACGCCTTAACCCTCATGCGATCATCTCCAAGGCGAATTCAACAGCACTTATGAAATATGCATTGAAACAACAGAAGGATGGAAAACACCTGGAAATTATAGAGTAGGAAATTGTAATGATGTAACTTGCTCATATTTTGGAGGGTAATATAGGATTACAATCACTCATTCTAATATTGGAACTGGAGCAGGTGGCCTAAAAAGTACTGTAATAAACCAATATATTGTCTTCCAATGTGTGCCGTTATGTGACTTCCAAGCTGTGTCTGACTTATGGTGGTCCTAAGGTGAACTTGCCAAGAGGTTTTCTTGGAAAGGTTTATCTCACCCTTTCCAACGAGACCATCCTCATCCCTTTGCTTGCTCTCTCTAAAAAAGAGAGCACAGCTGCCATGACCATGGTTGTCAATATCTACCTTTGCTCCAGGGAATATTTTTACCTTAATCTTTCCACTTCAGCATCATCAACAAGGAAGTCTCTTTTCTGCACCAGTTTGTGGATCTTGTGAATCAGTTCATCTTCTCTTTGCCTCTGGAGCCTTGTCTTATCTTTTTCTGGGGAGAGAAAGAAATTGGTTGAAAGATGATAACCTTGTTTACTTTCCTCTGGACTCTCACCTTTGCCTCTTGCTCCATGTCTGCCTGGCCCAAGACTTCCTGCTGTCTGAGGGCCCTTCCAGACAGCCTCTATGTCCCAGGATCTGATCCCAGGTTTTCTGTTTATCCCAGGTTATCTGGCAGTACAGACTCCTATAATCCAGTTTCAAGCAGAAAACCTGGGCTCAGATCATGGGATATAAGGCCTATCTGGAAGGGCCCCGGGGCAAAGGAAAGGGCGGTATCTCCCAAATACAGTTGCTTGCAATAATTCATTAGGATGGAATAAAAATTGGGAGAGTCTTAAGGAGAGATGGAGCATATGTATTTAGCTCAGCATTTGGTCTGACTGTTGTTCTACAGGCAGTCCACAAGTTACAAACATCTGACTTACAAATGACTCCTAGTTAAGAGCGGGGCTGAAACAACAGGAAGTGAGAGGAATCTACCCCTCGAAGAGAAATTCACTCCTGGTAGAGTTATTATCATAGGGAAAGGGGGTCTCCAATTAAAGGTTTATCTCCAATCCTTGCTCCCACAACAAGCCAATTTTTCCAAAATCCAGTGATCACCGGGATGAAAAGTGAACAAGGGCGCAGAGAGCAAAACAAACCCCATAGGGGCGTTTACCTTTCCCTTTGCTATCCAAAGCATGCATGTGAGCGGAAGGGGGGAGAGAGAAAGAGAGAGAGCTTTGGATAGCAAAAGTTAACAAACCCATGTGGGGTTTGTTTTGCTGTCTGTGCCCTTGTTCACTTTATACATGCACATACACACAGAGTGTTACACTTCAAACATGTCCCTGTTCAGACTTACAAACAAACCTATCCTGTTCGTAACTTGGGGACTGCCTGCACTGTACATTTTGTTCTTTGCAATATCTATAACACACACACAAACAAGTTACCTGGGGTTGCAACTAAACTCTGCAACTCTTTCTTAAGGTTCATGATGTCTTTGCACAGCTGGATATCATCCATCCTGGAGAAACAGGAATGAGAAATGAAACAGCAAAACAGGTATTCATTAGAACTGTTTGTGCTATCTATTCTTTGGGTCTCATTATTAAGCTCTTCCTAATATCCAGGTGGAATCGCTTTTCCTTTCAATTTGAACCAAATCTCCAGGGAATCAGAAGACAAGCCCTGCTCCCTCTCCCTTAGGACAGTCTTTCAAATATTTAAACATTTAGACACAAGTCTCCTCTCATCCTTCTCTTCTGCAGTCTCTTGCCACCAGGATCTTTCCTTCACCTTGTGTCACCCAAAACAGAGACCTCTCTGTTTTACCTCTCTGTTAGTTTGTAACCCAGACGGTGCCTTGTATGTACTTACATAAACCTCAGTTCCGATTCCCTTCTGACCAAGACTTCCCGAAGCCTCTGGATCTTGGCCATCTCTAGTTCGATCTCCTCCGGCATCATGGTTGTCTCTGCCATGGAAACGATATCCCGTTGATCTGTGTAGGTTTAGGACAAGGCCGGGAGAGAAGAAAGGAAGCAAAGGTATGACATGGGAGGCAGAATCCAACAGGAGCGCATCTAGGTCAGGATGGCTTATTGACCAATATTTCCTCTCTTACCTGGTAGTGTCTCCTGCGGTCTTTGGCTGATAAAATCCCACCAAGACTTGCAGGTTTTGCCCTGTTTCGGACAATTGCACCAAATAGATAGCATCAGTTCTAGTTCCTTAGATACGGTTATCCTGGTTTTCTACAAGCGAGCAGAAGGCGACTGGTAGATGGCATATGCTGTGTATCTCAAAAACTGGAGATGATGGGGAAAATAAGTCCCATTTTTGGACTCAGCAGGTCAAATATTTCCCCCTTTTCCTTTTCCCATTTCCCTAACATGTATTGGGAGTTTGGAGTCAAGCGCAGCCTCCAGATGATGGAGATGGAAAAGGGGAAGCCTTTGCCTCTGACTGTGTACTGTCTGTTGTTAATTGTATAACAGCATTGAATGTTTGCAATATATGTATTCTGTAATCCGCTCTGAGTTCCCTCGGGGAGATAGAGCGGAATATAAATAAAGTATATTATTATGATTATGATTATTATTATTAAAATATATTGAACTATTTTGGGAAAAAAATGTTGGGTTACTTTAAGTAATTTAAGTGCTGAGGTACAGTTACAGTGATTAAATGTAAGGATAATAAAACCCTGAAATTAGGTTTGTGTTTTGGCACAGCTGCACCAGGAGTTCCAGCTTATCTTGCTATTTGTTCGTTGCTGCATGTATTTTGAAGTTATATGCCTTTGCAGTTAGATGGCTCTCCTTATTTCGCAGTTATTGGGTCAATTGCTTGTCAATTATCCTTAGGTTCTCTAGTCCCGCGCCCTTTTTGGGCTTTGGTAGGGAAGTGAGCCATTTTGTGTTTAGTTTCATCCAGGTTAGCCAATGTATAGGATGTGTGTAGCTTCCCCTGTACAAAGGCTTCAACCTTTAAGAATTCCAGGGTTACAACAGAACCTCCAGAGAAAGAATTCCAGGGTCACAGAAACTCTAGCAGAATCTCCAGGGAAAGAATTTCCAGGGGAGAACAGCTTTGAGAGTCTCCTAAGAACTCCAGGCAAGCCTTCCCACAGCCTTGAGAGTTTCCAGGAAGACAGCCTTAAGGTTTAAAGAATTCCAGTGGAGAACATCCATTGCCTTGCTGGTAGGTCCTCTCAGCGCCTGAGAAGCAGTTCGGCCTGGCAGCAGAACCCACACCAGTGAGGGTTGGATTTTAGTCAGCCTTGGGAGAAGTTAAAAAAGGGGAATTTTCCTTTAAAGAAAGTTATTGAAGATAGTGTCTGTCCCCTGTGGGCAAGACTGAGAGAACTAATTCTTTATCAAGAAAGCTTTGAAGGACCTGTTTGTTTGATTCATTAATAAAAGACTTTGTTGTATTTTTCAAGCCATATGAAGATTCTTTAGTAGTGGAAACCTCTGAGAACTTCTTCTTAGGCCCCTGGCTTCCCGCTGGGCAAAGGTTACACATCCTATATTTAAAGCCAACTAAATACAGGCCCAGCGGTGACAGAACAGTTTGCATCAGCTGTATAAGACAATGAAAGCATGAATGGAACATTGCATCATGCAAGTGTATATAAGAACACCAACAGAGTAAGTTGGGGTTGGGTGATGTGATGATATATCCTGAACTGGAGGATTCTGGAGAGAGCTGCAAATACTGTAAATAGCTGCAACAAAAGATAAAGCCTTCCTGTGAAAAGAAGCTCCTGCATTTGCTGTTTATTGCAAGTATTGCTCACATACTATAGACAGAATCGGGCTGTGGCACAGCTAGTTAGTAGCCAGCTGCATTAAATTACTACTGACCGAGAGGTCATGAGTTCGAAGCCAGCCCGGGCTCCAGTGAGCTCCCGACCATTAATAGTCTAGCTTGCTGCTGACCTATGTAGCCCGAAAGGCAGTTGCATCTGTCAAGGGGGAAATTTAGGTACCGTTTTATGCAGGAGAGGTTAATTTAACTAATTTACAACACCATAAAACCTTACAGCAGCATGCATAAGAATGAGGAAGCACTCCATCAAGGACTCAGTGTCACAAGTGGACGGAGAAGCAGCAGCTCCCCCTGTGGCTGGAATCAAGCATACCCTCATGAAGCCAGAAAGCTGGCATGTTATATTGCCTCTGTGTCTGTCTATATATGTTGTATGTCTAATGGTATTGAAAGTTTGACATGTATATATGCATTGTAATCTCCCCTGAGTCCCCTGCAGGGTGAGAATACTGTAAAAACTGTAAATAAATAAATAAATAAATAAATAAATAAATAAATACTTTAATATTGCTTGGAGGTTTGAGCTGAGAAATGCTTCTTCAGGTTGAAGAAATATCTGACAATATGTACTTTCAGGAAGCTTAGGTCCTTATCCCCATGAAGTCTGTTCTTAGTGCCAGCACTTGTATCCCGACAGCCATTGAATGAGGTTGATTCAATCAGGCCACATAGGATGTTAGACATAGAGGCTATGCTCTCAAAAGATCCAGCATAAAGCATGCAGCAAAGAACAGGACACCTAACTCATCCAAATAGCCAGAAAAAAAACCCTCAGGTATACACTTAGGCTGGATTTACTCACATAACTGTTAGGTAGGCAGAAGCTGGGCTAAAGGCCAGGATCTCACCCTGACACGGGCTTCAAACTGTCAACCTTTCAGATGGCAAGATTTACTTCAGCTGGTGGATAACCTGCTGTGCTAAAGCCCAGCCCAAGTGTATTCATTCTACAGCATTAATACACCTCAAGGTTTTCCTTTCCATTGCTGGAAGCTTTGGTGCTCTAACACTTTTGTTTTTAAAGAAGGAATCCTAAACAAGCATCCACTTCCTGATCAGCTGAATTTCAGCTGTATAAAATACTGTTTATATTTAATTCTATTTTAATGTTTGCATATTTGTATATTTTAAATTGTATGCAAAAGCGTTTATGTCAAGCCACTTTGAGTCTCCTTTGGGAGAGAGATAAAGCAGGGTATAAATATGATGATGATGATGACGACGACGATGATGATATGCTACCTTCGTTCGGTAAAAAACCTGTCTCTGTATGTAATTTGGGCATGGAAAATTCCCAACTAAAATAAAAAATGCTGAGGAAATGAAGGCTCCATCTAAACCGCCATATAAAATCCAGATTATCTGCTTTGAACGGGATTATATGGTAGTCTAGACTCATACAACCAGTTCAAAGCAGATCATGTGGATTATATGCCAGTGTAAAAGGGGCCTTATTGACCCGGCCAGTTTTATAAGTGTATTTTATTGTTGTGGCCTTTGCGTTTTGTGTATTTTAATAGTGTTGTGTTTTATCATTCTGTTTTAATCCTGTGGTACCCTGACTAAAGCCATTGTCGTTGCTGCTGTTGTCATATTTATTTGTACCCCACTTTATCTTCCATGAATTGTTGTTGTTGTTCTTAAGGCATACTACAAATATTGCCAACTCAATTAGTTTTACGGTTCCGCAGTGGTGGTCAATATGGTGGCATAAACTGATTGTTTTGGACTCCAACTCCCACAATTCCCAACAGCCTACTGGCTGTTAGGAATTGTGGGAGTTGAAGTCCAAAACATCTGGAGGGAGGGCCAAAGTTGACCTATGCTTGGGTTACAGCCTTGAAACGAAAGCATTTTATCCGAAAGTCAGCCCCTCTGAACAAAAAGTTGAGTAATGTCTGAGAAGAGCTGTATTAAAGCGGCACCGTTCAGGCTTGTGGGAAGAAATGAGCCAAACGCTGAACCTATGCCAAGCCCTGCAACAAAGCCAACGCTGCTGCCACCGGGAGCGGGAAGAGTCAGATCCTTGCAAGAGCCATTAGCAAAAGCCAAGAAGAGAAGAAGCCCAAGGCCAATGATGGAGCTTTAAAGCACACCTTTTGGCCATCGCCTGGATCGTATTTGGATGAGGGACAGCTCTGATCTGTTGGAGGGGAAGCATTGACATCTTGCCTTGCCTTCCTACCAAACCCAAGCATTGCCAGTAGGATTTATTCTCCACAATTTGTGCAGTGATACGTTGACTTAAGAGTTGAATTCATTCCGTGACTGAGATCTTAACTCAAAACACTAATGTCAAAGTGAAGTTTCCCACTGAAATGCTCTTAATCCATTCCGCCCCTTCTAACACCCCCCTCCCCCAATTTATATACCGGGCTGTGGCGCAGCTAGTTAGTAGCCAGCTGCATTAAAGCACTACTTGTCGAGCTCGGAGTGAGCTCCTGACTATTAATAGTCTAGCTCGCTGTTGACCTATGCAGCCTGAAAGACAGTTGCATCTGTCAAGTAGAAAATTTAGATACCACTTTATGTGGGGAGGTTAATTTAACTAATTTACAAAACTATAAAACTTTCCAGCAGCATGCGTAAGAATGAGGAAGCACTCTATCAAAGGCTCAGTGTCACAAGTGGACAGTGAAATGGCAGCTCCCCCTGTGGCCGGAATCGAGCATACCTTCATGAAGTCGGAAAACTGGAATGTTAAATTGTCTCTGTGTCTGTCTATATATGTTGTATGTCTAATCGTATTGACTGTTTGCCATGTATATGTGCATTGTAATCTGCCCTGGGTCCCCTGCGGGCTGAGAAGGGCAGAAAATAAATACTGTAAATAAATTATATACACACACACACACAACTCCAGGGATTTCTGATAGACACTGATTATCTAGATCCGGCACAGTCTGGCTTTAGGCCGGGACATGGAACTGAGACAGCCTTGGTCTCCTTGGTAGATGATCTTTGCTGGGAGCTGGACAGGGGGAGTGTGTCCCTGTTAGTTCTGCTGGACCTCTCAGTGGCCTTCGATACCGTTGACCATGGTATCCTTCTGGGACGCCTCGTAGATATGGGACTTGGGGGTACTGCTCTGCAGTGGCTCCGGTCCTTTCTCGAGGGACGGTCTCAGAAGGTGTTACTGGGTGACACCTGTTCGGCCCCACAACCGTTGTTGTGTGGAGTCCCACAGGGTTCAATCTTGTCCCCGATGTTGTTTAACATCTACATGAAGCCGCTGGGAGATCATTCGGAGTTTCGGAATGAGATGTTATCTCTATGCAGATGATGTCCAAATCTGTCACTCCTTCCCACCTGTCACCAAGGAGGCTGTCCAGACCTTGAACCGGTGCTTGGCCGCTGTGTCGGACTGGATGAGAGCTAACAAATTGAAACTAAATCCAGACAAGACAGAGGTCCTACTGGTCAGTCGTAAGGCTGAACAGGGCATAGGGTTACAGCCTGTGTCAGATGGGATTGTGTTGTGTTAGGCGATCCCTCGTTGGACGAGTAAGATGGTCTTCCATGAGGGGTTTCCTTGTGGATTCGTAGGTGGCTGTGGAGCCCTATTCTTGACCCGCATCTTCTCCCACAGTGAAGGCATTGGTTTCCAGGTGGAAGGCGGTCCCGGTCGGGGTTGGCTTGACGCGCCTTCCTCCTGGTACGTTTCTCTCTTTCACCCTCCACTCGTGCCTCCTCGAATTCTGCAGCACTGCTGGTCACAGCTGACCTCCAGCTGGAGGGCTCAAGGGCCAGGGCTTCCCAGTTCTCATTGTCTATGTCAGAGATTTTAAGGTTGGCTTTGAGGCCATTTTTAAATCTCTTTTCCTGTCCACCAACATTCCGTTTTCTGTTCTTAAGTTCAGAGTAGAGCAACTGCTTTGGGAGACGGTGGTCAGGCATCCGGACAACGTGGCCGGCCCAGCGGAGTTGATGGCAGAGGACCACCGCTTCAATGCTGGTGGTCTTTGCTTCTTCCAGCATGCTGACGTTTGTCCACTTGTCTTCCCAAGATATTTGCAGGATTTTCCGCAGGCAGCGCTGATGGAATCGTTCCAGGAGTTGCATGTGACATCTGTAGACAGTCCAAGTTTCGCAGGCATATAGCAGGGTTGGGAGGACAGTAGCTTTATAGACAAGCACCTAGGTATCCCTACGGATGTCCCGGTCCTCAAACACTCTCTGCTTCATTTGGGAAAATGCTGCACTTGCAGAGCTCAGGCGGTGTTGTATTTCGGTGTCGATGTTGACTTTGGTGAAGAGGTGACTGCTAAGGTAGCGGAAATGGTCAACATTTTGTAATGTTACACCATTAAGCTGTATCTCTGGCATTGGGGAGGGGATGGCTGGTGACTGCTGGAACAGCACTTTGGTTTTCTCGATGTTCGTGTATGCTTCTGCGAAGGTGTTTAGAGTGGCTTGTAGATCTTCTTCTGAATGTGCACAGATGACATTGCCATCAGCATACTGGAGTTCTATAACAGATGTTGTTGTAACCTTAGTTTTGGCTTTCAGTCTGCTGAGGTTAAACAGCTTGCCATCGGTCTGATAGATGACTTCCACTCCGGTGGGAAGCTTCCGGTCAACAAGGTGAAGTATCATAGCAATGAAGATGGAGAATAGAGTTGGGGCAATAACACATCTCTGTGGTCCCATAACCAGGTTTTTACTTTTTCCTGAAGGTCAAGAGTGAGGGGGCTGCTCTGATTTTGCTGGGGAGGGAGTTCCAAAGCTGAGGGGCCACCACTGAGAATGCCCTGTCTCTCGTCCCCACTAATTGCGCTTGCGAAGAAGGCTGTACCGAGAGCAGGGCCTCCCCAGAAGATCTTGACCTCCATGGTGGTTAATAGAGGGAGATACGTTCAGATAGGCAAACATTGTGACATTAAACATGGCACAATCAAGCAAAGGAAAGTGCTTCCCATTCTTGATTTTATATTCCCAAATCTTGATTTTAGCACTATTGTATTACATGGGAAAGCATGAATGTTATTCCAGAAAACGGAATCCAACAGTGCCTACCTTGGTACAGGATTTTGTCTTTCACTTCAAATAGCACATTTGTTAAACTTGCTCTACATGTAAAATACAATATGCAACCTTTCATTTTTTTTTATGGCTGCCATTGAACAAATATGGATAACTATTATTAATGAAAAACACCCCCCAAAGTTTTGTCACATGTTTTTAAATAAGAAAAAGTACTTTATAAATAACAAATAATGTGTAAATGCACATTCATGTGGAACAATTAAAAAAAAAGAAAGATAAATTTTAAAATGGTAGAAGCACAAAGCTGTGGCAAGGAAGCACAAAGTACAAAGTGAAGAGGCAGAAGCCTCCTTTTCTTCTTCCTCCTGTTCTCCTTCCAGCCTCCTCCCCCCCCCCCCAACCCACCTTTCATGAAACCAAAGAGACCACGGATAGAAACCACACAAAATCAACTAACCCAAAGTTTGTTAGAGAAGACAAAAGCAAAGTGGACAGCAATCTCCCATAAAGGCACAAGGCTGCTCYCTTGAAGCCCTGAAGTCCTGCACTCTTGAGTTTGCTCATAACTCAAGACACTGCTCTTCTGTCAAATCTAAACCGGGTCTGAGTGACAAGTCTTAACTTAAAACACTCATAAACTGGGGTGCTCTTAAGTCAAAGTTCCACTGTATATCATTTCATCAAAGCTTGGAGAGAGATGGAGGACAGTTTCTGAGAGATGGAGGACAGATGGTGTGACCCTGGACTCGTCGCTGAGCCTGGATCCCCAGGTTTCAGCGGTGACCAGGGGAGCATTTGCACAGCTTAGGCTCGTGCGCCAGCTGCGACCGTACCTTGGGAAGTCTGACTTGGCCACGGTGGTACACGCTTTGGTCACATCCCGCCTCGACTACTGCAACGCTCTCTACGTGGGGCTGCCCTTGAAGACGGCCCGGAAGCTTCAGCTAGTCCAGCGCGCGGCAGCCATGTTGTTAACCGGAGCAGGACGCAGGGAGCGTACTACGCCCCTGTTGTCCCAGCTCCATTGGCTGCCGATTTGCTACCGGGCCCAATTTAAGGTGTTGGTGTTATCCTACAAAGCCCTAAACGGTTCCGGCCCAAAATACCTTGCGGACCGCATCTCGGCCTACGAGCCCACGAGGACCTTGAGATCATCTGGGGAGGCCCTTCTCTCGGTCCCGCCTGCCTCACAGGCACGCCTGGCGGGGACGAGAGAACGGGCCTTTTCGGTGGTGGCTCCCCGGCTGTGGAACTCCCTCCCTGCTGAAATTAGACAGGCGCCCTCCCTCATGGCCTTTCGTAGGGGCCTGAAAACATGGCTCTTCGAGTTGGCCTTCAACTGAGTACTATGCTATTGGATATGACGATCGGAACGGACTATGACTATGAGACTGATTATGTCCCCATGACTAGACGAAGCGGATTTTTAGTATAATTAGATGTTATGTATTAGTAGAATGTTGTTGTGTTGTCATACTTTTGTAAAATGTCTTTTCTATGTTTTTGTACACCGCCACGAGTCGCCCTAGGGCTGAGAGTGGCGGTTAATAAGTGCAAGTAATAAATAAATAAATAAATAAATAAATTCTGAAAGGAGCCGAACAATCTATTTCCGGGGAAAATCATAGGATCATAAAAGATTGATAAGAATGGAAGAGAATGAAGAGCCAATTTTATGGCATATAATCATCTGCTAAAATTAATTCTTTCCGCACCACGAAAATACAAGAATCACTTTTTTGCAACAATCGACTAAAACGGGCAACCATCTGTCTATAGGGATTGGAGTGAACATATTTCATTTGATGTCTTTTTTATTATCCACACACTAATATTTAATAATAATAATAATATTAATAATAATAATAATAATTGCATTTGTATGCCTACCGGCTGTTAGGAATGGTAGGAGTTGCAGTCCAAAACACCCTGGAGGGCTGAAGTTGGCCCATGCCTGCAAGTCTTATGCTATTGGTCCAATATCATCACTCTGGACCCCTTATCCTCCACTTTCCTAACTATAACACAATGTCATTTCCTGCAAATGCTTTGAGAGTTGACCAAGGGCCGCTTTTAGACCACTTGCCTTAGGCTAGCCTATTTTCGCAGTTGAGGTTGCCAAAGACAAGTTCAAAAAGGGATGGAGAGGGAACCAGTTTAAGTCTTTTTCTCCAACTCTTTCCTCTTCCTCTCTGCTCCTTTGATATCTCCAGGAACCCAAATATATCAATGGAAAAGCCCTTTGGAGCAGAATGGTGTCCCCAAAATAGAGGCCACGCAGCCCCCCCCCCCCCAAGGGTGGGATCCCAGGGTGGGATGGAGAAGATGCAAAAAAAAGGTTTCTGCATCCCGTTGCAAACACCTGGAGAGAACAACAACATTGCAAATACCTGGAGAATCAACAAGGAATATTGCAAACATTTGGGAAGAACAACAACATTGCAAACTCCTGGAGAACCAATAAAGAACATTGCAAATACCTGGGGAGACTGGAAACATTAGGTGGGATGTCCAACTGGTTTGTATACTACAGTTTTTAACTTTAATCGGTTGTTATATTTATGGCTTATTTATTTTGATTTGATGTGTTTTATGTTAAATTTCATTTGTTATGTTTTATCCTTATTTCTTTTGGTGCTCACTTGTATTGATTTAGGTTATTTGCTGTATATTTTATGTTGTTCTTGGTTTGCATTGTTATGGCCTTGTAAGCCTGAGTCCCTCTGGGGACATGAGGTGGGATTACAAATAATAATAATAATAATAATAATAATAATAATAATAATAATAATAACTATTATTATTAAACACTTGGATAACAAAGAACATTGCAGACATTGCAAACATCTGGAGAGAACAGCATTGCAAACACCTGGAGAGCCAACAAAGAACATTGCAAACATCTGGAGAGAACAAGAACAAAGAACATTGCAAACATCTGGAGAACAAACAAAGCCCCCCCCCCCCCTCTAAATAAATAAGACTTTGAAGGAAGGGCATAAAGGGGAGTCCTTACTTTTCCTCCAACCCTCGGCTTTCCATTCTGTTTCTTCCACAGCCCCATAACACCTGGGCGGCCTCTCTGCATCTTTTCCGGCCGAAATGGACCTCTTCAACTCCATGCTTTGAGCAAAGGATGCTAGGGCCCAAAGCAGGTTCTCTGCTGGGTCCTGTTGGTTGCTATGGGGCCCTTCTCTTTGGCCCCCACCGCCCTTGGGTGTGTGTGTTGTTCAGTCCATCATAACTGGAAAGCGACAGAGAGAGAGGCTGGATTCAGAAGCGCAGCCTGGCCTTGTCCCTCTGGAAAAAGGCTCAGCGAATCCCTCCACTGCCGCTGCGCTGCCGCTGCTCCTCGGGCTGCATCCGGAGAGAGGGGACCACCAGGGATACAGGGCACATGCGCAGAAGGAAGATGCTCAGGAGAGGAAGGACAACAATGCGGGAGAGGAAGGGACTAGGAGGGGAAAGGCAGCATCTGCCACTTTTCTGTTCCTCTTCTGTGCTGTTGTTAAGATGGGCCTCTTGCTTTCTCTTTGGGAAAACACAAGATGGGGATTATTATTATTATTGTTGTTGTTATATTTTTATACCCCATTTATTCTCTTCACAAATGAGACTCAAAGTGGCTATATCCCATATGACTTCTCTCTATCCATTATTATTATTATTATTATTATTATTATTATTATTATTATTATTATTATTATTATTATTGGGTTCATTCATACCCCACTTATTCTCTCCACAAAGGAGACTCCAATGGCTATGTATCTATTATTAGTATTAGAATATTATATTATTAGTATAATAATATAATATTCATGCATTGTTATTATTAAGTTTATTCATACCCCACTATTTCTGTCCACAAAGGAGACTCCAAGTGGCTATGTATCTATTATTAGTATTAGAATGTATTATTATTATCATTGTATATTATTTGTGCATTATTATTATTATTATTATTATTATTAGGCTTTTCTCTCCACAAAGGAGACTCAAGGCAGCTATCTATTATTAGTATTAGAATGTATTATATTATTATGTTTAATATTATTCTATTATTATTATGTTTATTCATACCCCACTTTTTCTGTCCACAAAGGAGACTTAAAGCAGCTATGTATCTATTATAAGAATATATTGTCATTATAGTGATATTATTGATTTATTATTAATTTATTATTATTATATTTATACCCTGCTTTTTCTCTCCACAAAGAGTGTTAGTATTAGAATGTATTGCTACTATTATAGTGATAGTATTATTAATGTATTATTATTATTATTATTATTATTATTTATACCACACCTTTTCTCTCCAGAAAGAAGTGGATCAATGACAAATTGGATAGGAATGGAACAATAATATTTGAAAGGGACCCCCAAGGGCCACCCAGTCCAACTCCCTTCTTTCTGCCAAACAGGAAAAGCACCATCAAAGTACCCCGACAGATGGCCATCCAGCCTCTGCATAATAATAATAATAATAATAATAATAATAATAATAATAGTTGGAAAGGACCCCAAAGGCCATCCAGTCTTTTTGCCAGACAGGAAAAAGCACCACCAAAGCACCTAGATCAGATGGCCATCCAGCTTGTGTTTAACAGCCTCTAAAGAAGGAGCCACTGGCTCCAGAGGCAGCAAACAACTCTAAAAATCTGGCAATTCTTCCCAATGTTTAGATGGAATCTCATTTTCCTGCCAGTTGAATCCATTGCTCCGTCTCCAAGACATAAGTATTACTAGAATCAACAATGCTTTCTGATCATGTAAAGGTAGTCTTTACATTAATTCCAGCTGCAGAAGCTTCTGTGTCAATGGAGCAGTGAACTTACTCTGGGGTTTACTCTGCCTAAGATGCTGAACTGATTGTGGGGGAAGATAGCTTCTCAACATGAAGATTAAAGCCCAGAGCAAACTCACTGTTCCACGGATACGGAACGTACTAGGAATGAAGCTTTGTATTCACTCTACTATGCCATGCACACAGCAGATATGTTATTTCCGAGGACAAGAGCTACGCTAATAACTGGCAGATGGGTGCTGTGTATTCAGAGGGAAAAGGATCAGACAGTGCAATGAGTCACAAGCTCACGCTGCAGGCGGCAGCACACTTTTCCTGCAGATGGAGCAGTAAAGAACACAACGGGGGAGGAACATCATGCGCCCATCTGCGCCGCATTGGAGGAAGAGAAGTTGCAAGATTCGCAGGCATGGGACAACTTTGGCCCTCCCTCCAGGTGTTTTGGACTGCAACTCCCACAATTCCTAACAGCCAGTAGTCACCCTAGATCGAACACGAACATTTAGGAAACACAAAGTAGCTGTACACAATTATATCCTGAGGAAACTTTCATGTTTTCTTTATGGCCGCTCCTGCTGGCACGGCAGGTTACACTGCTGAGCTGCCGAACTTGCTGACCAAAGGTTGGCGGTTCGAATCCAGGGAGCAGGGTGAGCTCCCGCTGTTAGCCCCAGCTTCTGCCAATCTTTGTTGTTGTTGTTGTTGTTGTTGTTCATTCATTTCCAACTCTTTGTGACCTCATAGACCAGTCCACACCAGAGCTCCCTGTCCGTTGTCACCACCCCCAGCTGCTTCAAGGTCAATCCAGTCGCTTCAAGTATACCATCCGTCCATTTTGCCCTTGGTTGGCCCCTCTTCCTTTTTCCTTCCATTTTCCCCAGCCTCATACTCTTCTCTAAGCTTTCCTTTCTTCTCATGATGTGGACAAAATACTTCATCTTGGCCTCTACTATTCTTCCCTCCAATGAGCAGTCCGGCTTTATTTCTTGAAGTATGGACTGGTTGGATCTTCTCGCTGTCCAAGGCACTCTCAGAACTCTCCTCCAGCACCACAATTCAAAAGCATCTATCTTCCTTCACTCAGCCTTCCCTATGGTTCAGCTCTCACATCCGTAGGTGACTATGGGAAATACCATTGCTTTAACTATGCGGATCTTCGTTGCCAGTGTGATGTCCCTACTCTTCACTATTTTATCAAGATTGGTCATTGCTCTCCTCCCAAGAAGTAAGTGTTTCCTGATTTCCTGGCTGCAGTCTGCGTCTGCAGTAATCTTTGCATCTAGAAATACAAAGTCTGTCACTGTCTCCACGTTTTCTCCCTCTATTTCCCAGTTGTCAATCCGTCAATCTAGCAGTTTGAAAACATGCAAATGTGGGTAGATCAATAGAGTCCGCCTTGGCTGGAAGGTAACGGCGCTCCATGCAGTCATGCTGGTCACATGACCTTGGAGGCGGCTGCAGACAACGCCGGCTCTTAGGCTTCCCCTAGAGTCAGACACGACTAGACTTAATGTCAAGAGGAAACCTTTATTACCTTAATGACACCTTTAGAACAAATATAGTACACCCTCTAATGCAGTGGTTTTCAACCTGTGGGTCCCCAGGTGTTTTGGCCTACAATTCCCATAAATCCCAGCCAGTTTACCAGCTGTTAGGATTTCTGGGAGTTAAAGGCCAAAACATCTGGGGACCCACAGGTTGAGAATCACTGCCCTAATGCATCTTAAGTGCTTTAATTCTATAGGTTGCTTGTTGGATAACATACAAACATAGTTGTGCACACACTACAGTAATTAACAAACAATTTTAAAAAAGATTTTGCTTTTGTTAATCTGGCTGCAACAAAGTTATATTCACAATTTTCTTCATTCTCTTTGGCAATTCTCTCCCTAAATACTTCTATATTTGTATAATCTAGAGCCCCCGGTGGCGCAGTGGGTTAAACCTCTGAGTTGCTGAAATTGTTGACCGCAGGTTCGAATTTGGGGAGTGGCGTGAGCTCCTGCTGTCAGCCCCAGCTTCTGCCAACCTAGCAGTTCGAAAATATGCAAATGTGAGTAGATCAATAGGTACCACTTCTGCAGGAAGGTAGCAGCGCTCCATGCAGTCATGCTGGCGACATGACCTTGGAGGGGACTACAGACAACGCTGGCTCTTTGGCTTAGAAATGGAGATAAGCACCAACGCCCAGAGTCGGAAACAACTGGACTTAATGTCAGGGGAAAGCCTTTACTTTTTAACCTATAAAAATATAACAATATAACAACATGATTATAAGTAAATAGAATATAAGAAAAACATAATAGTATGACAATATAATTTAAGATTAATATAATATAACAATATAACAATATAATATAATGTATTACTTACTTACTTAGGTGATCCCTCATTGGATGATGTAAGGAATTTATTGAAACTAAGTATATGTATTTGAACCGTTTAACTATTTGTTTGGCAACAGTAGCTGAAGACTAGAGATAACTGGTTGTATCCATTGTGGCGTTGCCAAGGAGACCAGGCAGGAGAGAGTGGAAAGTGGGCGGAGCCTAGCGAGAGAAATCTATCTGCGTTTTGAAAAGAAGCAGTTAGTTAGGGTTTGGAGTTCCGAGTGAGCAGTTGAGAGAGGAGAGAGGGAAGTGGAGAAGCAGTGTGTGTGAACAGCCAGAGGTTTCTTCAATGTAGCAAGGTTGAAGGGGAAAACCTGATTAGTTTCATTAGTCAGAGAAGACTAAGGGAAGCTTGTTTAGATCACTAGTTAGGAAAGACTAGAGATCTAAGGTTTGATCAAGAAAGGATCAAACAGGAAGGCTATTCACCTCAGGAAACATTGTTTAAGAAAGTGCTTCAATACAGTAAAAGTCAAATACAAGTTGTGTTATACAGAAGTGTGATCTGTATTGCAAACCAAGTTACATTTAAAGTTCTACAAGTTCTCTAAGTTATTCCAAGTAAACCAACAGCCTGCAACCATACGCTTTGTTCAAAATAAACTTAATAACTTTTGTTTGAAGACAGTGTCATCTCCATATTTCTGCGTCTGGGGAACCAGTTCTCATCGGCATTACCTCCCGTTGGTTGCAGTTACCTGAATTACATCTAGAATTATCCACACCTTTTATAAATTAGCAAAACTTAGGAGATTTAAACAGTAGTAGATTGGCCAGTGTTGCTAACCACAGTAAAACAAATCCCGTTGCAAATTGGGGAAGTGGAACACACTATTACAAATTGGTGGCATTAAAACGGTCATCCTGTTACAAATTGGTGTCAGCGAAGTGGGATACTTTCACAAATTGGTGTCAGCAAAGTGGGATACTTTCACAAATTGGTGTCAGCGAAGTGGGATACTTTCACAAATTGGTGTCAGCGAAGTGGGATACTATCACAGATGAGTAGGATAGTCTTCCAGGGTCAGTATTCTTGTGGGTCTGTAGGTGACTGTGGAGCCCTATTCTTGATCTGCATCTTCTCCCGCAGTGAGGGCATTGGTTTCCAGGTGGAAGGTGGTCTCGGTTGGGGTTGGCTTGACGCGCCTTCCTCTTGGCACGTCTCTCTCTTTCACTCTCCATTCGTGCCTCTTTAAATTATGC